TTTCCATTCATTGGCTACCACATTCTGATGAGCCCCTCCCCCCCCCTCTCCTCCCCCCCTCAACTCGCTTTTAAGGGATTACATCTTGAATCATTGCCTCACTTGATGCAGCTGATCTGGCTGTGACTGTCCCACCTGATGACGGAGACTTGTGTTGCCTCCGAAACGTCGTGATCTTTATTTTTATTTTTATTAATTTTGATGTTTTACCTACGTGACTTTACCGAAAACACCTAAGAATATGATTCCTTGCAGTCACGAAAGCTTCAAGTCTAGAATTCACCAAATTTCCCTGCTATCTTTGCCTTTGGGACAGCAGGGACACCATGGTGCACTACCACAGGCGGGACTGGCCACAGCGGACCGAGTTCTGTGTGGGGAGGAACACCGTCAAGTGGGACCCACTGGTGGACCCCCGGAAGGTGCTGATGCCACCACTGCTCATCAAATTGGGCCTCATCAAACAATTTGTCAATCTCTGGCCCCGACCCTCTCGCCCGATGCGGCGCCCCCCCACCCTCCCCCTCCCGGATCTATTTAATGCCTCGTTGCTGCCTGTTTGTTTCTTTCTCTAACCTGAAGACGATTGCTTGTTTTGTTGCGATTGAAACGTCGTGATTTTTCCCAATACAATGGCTACCTTCAGAGCCTCAGCGCGTCCTCCGTTCTCACAATACATTGACATGCTAATCTCTCTCATTACAATGGCCACCCCCACAGCCTCAGGGTGCCCTCCGATCTTACATTTACATGCAAATACCATCTCTAACCCCGCCCACTTACCCTTGGGCTGCACCCATCTCAGGCCTATATAACATCCTGTTTCAGCAGCTCTCTCGCTGTATTTTTTCATCTGAAGACGATTGCGTGTGTTGCGATCGAAACGTCGTGATATATTATTTTTTCTATCTACGTGACTTTACCGAAATAACCAAAGAGTATGTAGATAAGGAGTCGACAGTCTTCTTCCCTAATCTGTCTGAGGCAAAGGTCAAAGCCGGTGTCTTCATCGGACCACAGATAAAGAAAATCCTGGAGTGCAATGAATTACCCAAGAAGCTCAAAGGTAACGAGAAAGCGGCTTGGAATAGCTTTGTCGCAGTGGTTCGTGGCTTCCTGGGCAATCACAAGGTCGAAAACTATGTGGAGCTGGTTGAGACTCTGATGAAGAACTATGGCACAATGGGCTGTAGGATGTCCTTCAAAGTCCATATCCTTGATGCTCATCTTGATAAATTCAAGGAGAACATGGGAGCGTACTTGGAGGAGCAAGGCGAGCGCTTCCACCAGATAAAATACTGGACTTTAAACGCCACTACCAAGGACAGTATAACGAGAACATGATGGGAGACTACATTTGGGGGCTGATTCGTGAAAGTGATTTACAGTATAATCGTAAATCTCGAAAAACTATTCACCTCTAAATCTTTTGTAGCGATTTTTGTATAACTTTAGTATAAATACATGTTTATTTTGATTCATATGTTGTTTTTTTCTGACTTTATGTGAACGAAAAGACACAAATTCGCCCGTTTTCTCATTGAAAATAGGTACATTTCAAATATCACTGTCCTGGTCACAAAAGCAAAGTTTGTGGGGAATAATAGCCATTTTCTATACTTTTTAGGCATAAGCAATTGAGAAATAACACTTACTACCCAGGAACAGAAATTGTGTTACATCAGGAGATATCTCATCATCGCCGTTCCCATCATCATTAGACCCATGGTTTTCATCTTGATCATCAGTGCCAACATCAATACACCCAACAAAATAATTTTCATCTATCCACACAATAATTAATCCCATCATTATTTGTTCCCTCATTATCATAATTCGACTCATTAATTAGACCCAAAATCGTAAATTATATCATTAACCTGTCTCATATTTTACCTTGAGTAATGCAGAGAGCAATATCGTACACAAATGTATTATTTTTGTATTTGTTGATATGCTTTTTATAGTCAGGAAATCCCCATTGAGTCTCAAGATTATTTTTCAGGAGGGTCCTTGCTAAGTTTTCGCAGTCGGGACGATGTTTCTGCCGTATGTAATCCCAATCAAATAATTGGCAGGGTTTTTCAGCATTGGAATGTTTTGGCCAATACCAGTTACTTTGTTTTTCAGCTATCGGAGAAAACCGGAGAACCCTGAGAGGAAACCCATGCAGAAACGGGGGGAGAACACAAACTCACCACAGAAAGGCTCCATGTAGGAAATCGGGCCCAGGAGCTTCTTGCAGTGAGGTACCAGTGAGGTACAAGTGTTACCACTGTGCCGCCCTGCCATGCCCCCCCTCCCCAAATAATTATTACCAGAAACTGCCTCTGTTAATGAGACCCATGAGGACCAGAGTTTCCTTGCTTAATTAAACAACTGCTGCTTGATAATATTTATATTTACACGGACGAACCTAGTAAACCTCTGTTCTAGGTTTGAAGTTTTCGTGACTGCAAGGGTCCATACTCTTTGGTTTTTTCGGTAAAGTCACGTAGGTAAAAAATAAAATAAAAATTAATTAAATCACCTGAAGAAGGAAGCTTGTGTTGCCTCCGAAACGTCGTGATTGAATTTATTTTTATTTTATTTTTTACCTACGTGACTTTACCGAAAAAACCAAAGAGTATAAACCTCTATTGTTTATAATATTGTTCTTGAAATCCAATTGGCCGATGGACTAAAACTTGTTAATTGTCATCTCGCCATGGTGGTGAGATGTTAACTACCTTGCTGAATATGGAGAATGTCGTGGGTTAGATCCCAACCTGATGCCTGTATATTTGGAGTTTGCATGTTCTCCCCGTGGTCGCGTGGATTTTTCTCCGGGACCTCCGGTTTTTACTTCCACATTAAAAAACATGCTTTTAGATTATTTGGTTGCCATAACTTTGTGGCCAGGTCAATTCTAAAAAAAAACTATATACTGTAGCTCATTGGGCCTTACCTTGTAAAACAAAAATTGTTCAGTGTTTTGAGTGCCTACATATGATGTGATAGAAGTTCAATATACTGTACATACATATGTAGAGAAACAACTGAGTGTTTGCCGACTGAAAATGTGTTCAAATGTGTGCGATATAAGAAATAATTGTTTTCAAGTCATATTATCCACAATGAGTTGTTTTTAAAGTGTGTTATGGTGCAGTGGGTGGAGCAGTGGCACGGTGATTCTCACACTCTACTATGATCTCAGCGACCCAATTTGGATTCCTGGCCATAGCTAACATCACATTTCAAGTTTAATTTGACAAACCAGGTAAGAAATCGATAGACAAGGATAGTCTCACTTGCAAGAGTGACTTGGAGCCTTAGTCTGCAAATCGGGGGGTCGATGATTGCTGTGCATGATCCCAATTTGAGTAATTTGTGGGTCATTTTCGAACTGGGAAAATGTGGACCCTCATGCTTGCACACAATGGTCTGCTTTGTAAATGACAGCACGCAATGTTACGACGATTACATCCTCGGTAATAATCAGGACAGCCACTGGATTCAAACTGTGAGCCTCTGCAACAAGCGGCGAATGCGCGACCGCTAGTCCATGTCACCCGTTCATGGCGAGTGAAATCTAGTGGCATACCATCGATGGCGAGTGGCATCTTAACCAGTCCATTTTCACGAACCTATACTGACCAGCTTTGGGAAGTATCATTCAACAGCCCCCATGACGTCTGGAAAAAACATTACCAAGCTGCAACGTGTACAAAACTCTCTGGCACGTGGTCGTGACGGGTACTTTAAGATCCGGCCATGTCCGTCCAGTGCTCGCCGAGCTGCATTGGCTCCCGGTTGCCAAAAAATACATTACGAGGTCGCACTCGTTACACACAAAGTGCTTGCCACAAATGAACCACAGGACTTTACTGATGTCGTCAAGGAGCATAAACGACCACGCGAACTCCGGTCATCCTCGCAGTGACTTTTGGCTAGCCATCGAACAAAGACGGTCACCGCATCACGCGCTTTCAGATGCATTTCTGCAACCATCTAGAAAACTCTACCTTCCGTTATTAGGAAGCCATTGGAGATACATTGAAAACTCATTTATTTCGAACTGCCTTTTATATTTAGTTCGTTGTCCTTCTGCCGCACCTCTGATGAGCACGGTTTGATACACATGATGTGAACGAAATGCAACATACCTACAGTACATACATTACCAACACGGTGTGAAGAGACTTTCATCCAATAGTGCAATGACAAAGGAGTGACATGCAGTAATAGTGTATTGCACTCTATTTCATAATGATTACAACCCACCACAGTTATTTTACTGGCTGACTACACTTAAGTGGTAACAATGGACCTATTCACCACCGGGTAAGAATGGGCATTAGATTGTATAGTTGGCTCTTTTACTACTTTTACTGAAAATAAGATGTTTCTCGCACCTTTACAAGGCAACTAAACCTAGGTTAGGCAACATCAAGTTGGAGCCATTGAAAGTAAGTACCTTTTATATGTCCGTACTGTTAGATTGTAATTGGCAACTTACCGTTACTGTCACGTGTTATTTTTGGTTATCATTATTATTTGTCCCAATTCTCTTACGCGAGTGCTTTGTACCCAGCCTTTATTTTATCTGGAAACCCTATGTGATCTGCACACACCTTCATATTATCTGTGCGCTAGATTTTTACGATTAGCCCAGCCATTGCATCGATAAGAGAGGTGGCCCTAGAAGTGTTGGCAAATCCTTTCTCGTGCCGTATGTTGAACTTATTTCGCACCGTACGTAGCCAACTGTGCTAATCAGAGGCGGTTTCTGCAGGCTTACCCGCCTGCATAATCCATATTCAAAGTGATGGGTTAGTTTGGTTTAATCTTTGGTGAAAAGGCCTAGACGATGAACTCGCTACACTTAAGAAGCCCTTTAAATACAAATCCAGGGTCTCTTGCAGTGCCAGACAAGCGGTTTGACCTTTGTAGCCACCTGGCCACATCTCCAAAGGAATGTCATTGATAATGCATGAGACCACGATGCGTGGATACCTCAACTCACAATGCATGCCTTCAAGTGAAAACCAACACCATTTCACTGCTTCCAAAAGTAAACAAAAAAAACATGGACGTCCCACACACGTGTTTTTTAATTCATATTTTTGTTTATTTATCGTGGTTACAATATTAACGCATTTTATGAAAATAAAAGTTGTATGCTTTTGCGAATGAAATGTAATTTAAGCCAGTATGAAAGGGATCATACTACACATATCACACTAAGATGTACTTTGAATACAGGGTACACACAATATGCTCTCTGATAATATATTTGATATATTTGCATCGGTTTAGACTGCTGGCAGAATTCTTGACGTTACCCCAGTCGTGGATTTACACAGTTCATCATCGCTGTCCATGAATAAATGAAATGAATACTACTCGTAGGTATATCACTATGGAGAAATGGATCCTTTCCATGTTAATAATTACCATATGAATGAGAAATTGTCACCATTGGTTCGTTTTACGTATTGTACACAGTATTGTGTATATATAAAGATGAACCAGCCGGGGAAAGGAATGTTTGCACACGTCTGACGTAATAGCTCAAGTGGGGAATGTGTGAGGGGGTCAATCGGCCATTGAGATGGAATGATCAAATAATGCATCGATTCACGTGGGTTTTTGTTTTTATTAATAAAGTTTCTGAGCAGAGGGCTCAAAGGCCCAAAATGTCAAGTGGTCAGCAACGAGTAGCAAGAACACGGTGTGGGAGCCCTGTATATCTTCGTTCGTAAGGCGATGAGTTGATCAGCATTGTCAATGTTCATGGCAATTGTTTACACGTGACTGGGGCATTGCCACCATGGTTGGTGAGTGAGCCAGTAGATGGCTTCACGAGCAGCCTGTAAATATCTCAATTGCTGCCGGTGAATTATAGAAATGGGCAGTGGTGTGATGTGTGCCATTTGAGAGGCTTGACGTAAAACCTTGTACATGTTTGTTTTAATGTTTCCTAACAACGTCAGCCTTGTCTGTTTACGTCTGATCAGATTCTGTGCATTTTTATCCATTGCCTCTACTTTATAAAACTAGTCACTTTAATTTCCAAAAGTTACGTTTTTAAGTTAAATTGCAAAAAAGTCAAATACCTATTTACTTGCCTTTATTTATATTGTACTGTATTCATTTATTGTCAAAAGGAGTCTAAATTTGTTCGAGCAAATGTTTTATAAATATTGTGTTCTTAAATTGTATCGTGATGCAACAGGCCACCCTTGCAAAATAGGTAATGCTGTTATTTAATCGCCTGGTTAAGTAAAGGTCACACACATTAGGTCTCCTTGGTCAAATATGTTTCTAAATTGACTTAATTTGTTCTCAGTGAAAGAATAATGATAAGTTACTGCACGTACACGAAGCAGCCAATATCAACATTACAGTCCCATACTGGTCATGGACAATGTAATTTATAGTGCACTTTTGAATGCATTCTAAAGTACATTTACATCTGATGGATTCAAAAGACATCCGTACTCTACTGTTTGCAATCGTCTATGTTGATAGTATACCCAATTGTATGTTTTATGCAATACATCAATCGAGATTGGTATTGATAGAAATTGTCATTGCAGTTGCATGAACATTCATTTAATTGTAGAGCACTGAAGAGGAATATTGTACAACTTTCGTTTGATTCGTGTTTTGTGTAGAGAGCTGGACGAGCTCGCAATGGAATGTTCTGCTCGAGACCCAGCGAGAGTTGACTCGACATAACTTTCATCATTTCTTCTCGTCCATATGGCAACTGCCAAGTGTTGCTGTCCCGTGAAATTGCTGGCCTCTCTCGGTCAGCACAGGCGGCAAATTGAAACGCCTCGCTCATGCTGCTGCTGGTGGAAGGGACCTCCACTGGGGAGTATTTTGTTCTGAGAGAGCTTCCTCTCGATGTGGTTTTGGCCTACTTTCCCACACTCGCTGGGCACCTTGGAAAATGTGGGAATACACACACTCCCTCCAATGGACGACTAATTGTGGTGTACCCATTTATCGTTGGATTTAAGAAACACACATCCCATTGTTTTAACTACTGCACCCAGGAGATGAAACCAGCGACCTCTGTATAGCATCCCAAAGCAATATCGGAAATGGGTTTAAAATATAGTATAGGTGGGGGGGGGGGGGGGGGAGTGCTGAAATACATTTTTTTTTACAATTAAGAGTCTCCTTTTTAAATAAAAATAAGAGTAATGTTCCAAAACGAGAGCGCAAACATGCCAAGACGAGCAGCAGGCTTGGTAGACTGAAAGGTCCACGGACCACTTTGTCACCACTCTCAGCTGTACTAAGTGCTGGCTTCAAGAGGGGGTTCCCTTCTGAGTAGGACATGTTTGAAAGAAACCTGGTAGATAGATCTCATAAGGGGGGCTAAGGCACTTTATTTTTCTTAACTCTAGACCCCCCCCCCCGCCAATGATTAGCAATAATTTTAGTAAATGTCAGTGAAGTTTAACAATGGGGGTGGGGCGACAGGGGATGAAGGTAAAATGTATCCTGTAAATCAATGTTGCATGCATATATTTGTATTATTTCCTGTGCAGGCAATACGTGATTGCAGTTAGTTGGTGGAGTGTTAAATTAGGCTTTCAGACAGAATTTTTGGCCTCTGGAATACAACCTGAAAGAAAAAAAAAGAAACAGCAAATATGGTGACATTAATACATCATGTCAATAAGCAACAAACGGTATCTCATTAAAAGCCTGAGATCTTAGCTTATTCACATAAACATACCGCACTCAAAATCCGTCCATATAAACCGCTAAGTACTACTACAACATGCACAGTCCATTGTGTTACGGGGTTAGTTCTTTGCAGGATGGATATCAGACACAATGAGCAGCAACATCACTTTAAACTTTAGTTGACACTGACGCTACACAAACACATGGATTACAACTATTGACTGTGATCTCTCTTTCCCAGAACAAAAGGAAAATGTGTGACATGTTTGAAAACTAAAATTGAATATGAAAATAGGATTTTGGTATGCCTTAGCTAAATATACTTTGCATGCGTTGTTCCATACTATTGTCAAATGCCTTGGATTTACATGTCTAAGTGAAGGCAACATACAATGACAGGTAGGGATAGAACGATCCACACACTTGACGATTTAATGAATCGTCACTATTCAGGCTTGGAATTAAATTCAATAAACAATTTATTTTATTTTACATTGTGGTGAATGGTAGTGCCTCGAGTGGCTGCAGGGGTGACGTGAGCCCATTACAACAGGTACGAATTAAAAAAACACACATTGATTCTTTACACTACGCTTGTGTTGAACTTAACGGTACAATTGAAGAAAGGATGCATCATTCCGTCCCGGGTGACAGGAACAGTTTTACGATTGTGTGGAAGGCACGTTGCAGAACTATGAATGCAGTGGATGTGTAGTGACATCAGGGATGTCACTTTATGGTGCCCGCCCGGAAGGATCGTGCCGTTCGATGTTTTACATCGTGGACATCACCGTGTGGGTGGCTGTGTGTAGCACCAGCCCTAGCGGGGCTTGGCGAGCACTGGGATAGTGCGGGCACCACGCACAACATGTGGTGGGGGCTCCCACGAGGGGGAGTGGGTGAGCGTCAGCCCAGGGGCAGGGTTGCCCCGGGCCATGGCACTCTGGTTGACCCCGTAGAAACGTGATCCGGAATATCCATACAGGTGGGCCCAGGTGGGGGGACTAGGGGGTGATCACGTGTCCGGAGAGAGCTCTTGAGAAGGATCGAGAGGGAACGTGAATGTTCGGGAAGGCGGGCGGGGCCGAGGGCGGAGCGGTCCCGACAGGGGTCGCTGCATTCTACAAGCGGGAAGCCCAACATCTACAAGCGGGAATCTCTACGTCTCAAGCTGAAGCTCTTGGTCTTACGAGGCAACCACGTGGTCGGAGACCCGAGTGAGGGATCGACCCTTCGTAGCAGTAAAGGGGCAGTTACCCTTTTGTGTTACGGAGTTACGGTGTTACAAATAAAAGTGTTGCCTCTAAAAGGAACAACAGATGGACCCACTACAGATGTATCAACCATTTTGGCCTGGTAGTCACTGAAAAAAAGAGCTTCTCATCTCAATGGGCCTGACCCGCAATGAACTTACTGTGTTCACACTGAGTCTCATCGCGTTTCCTTGCATGTTCTGCCCCATATAAACTTTACCACTCGCGGGTACTGACAGGCAAATAAGGATAGGCATATTATTCTCCGCATTTAAGATGGGTTGTTCAATCTTATCAGACCACTTGCGTCATTTCCAGTTATTTTCCTTTGTCCTGGGTACATTTACAAGCGAGTGTAAAAAAAAGTTAAAGCTTTAGGTGTGTGTGTTTTTTAAATAGCCGTCATTCCCTTTTAATGCCCTTAAAGGGTATATTCCCTTGGAAACCAAACAACTTGGGGGACAGCATAACATTGAGTGTTCATCTAAATGGGGTTCCCTTTAATATCAGTCAACAATTTTTTTTAAGTCATTCAGTTTGATAAAAAAATCATCAAGTGCAATCTTGCAACTTGAGTAAACACATTTGTGCAAAGGAATGGAAAAACAAGAACCTTGCTATCCATAGAAACACAAGATAAAGGTCCTATCATTCGTTCTAAAGTGATTGTGTCAACGGCGATGGTACGGCCAGTCACCACAGTCACAAACCAACGCCCCAGGACATTGAGTAAGTGGCATAATGTTCGATTCACTTGGCACAGCAATATGGGTAGGCAAGGAGTACCATAGTACCATCATCACCTATTATCAGTCCACTGTTCGAGGAAGGCATCTCAAAAATCCCACCATCTCTCATGACCCCACAATGCAACCATCTACCTAGAACCTAAACAGGAGCTGATTTCATTGATCCATCTCCTCATTGGACGTACTCTCAAGACGCGTTCCATACCTTGACCATAGGCCCCATCATCACTTCCAGTGACGGGTCCTGCCCAAGCCAATGTATGTTCTCTAATCTGCGTGTTCTTCTTTATGTCCTCTCAATGTTCTTCCAAGCTCTACCCCACTCAACGAATCGTATCTTTCATCAGTCACACAATGTAATTAATACTTTGCAATGTGATTTGTTGTCAAGGTTTCTGCATTTCCATTAAAATGGACTTGCGTGTTAGAGGTCGTGTTTATTTATAGTAATATAAATAGAACTGATGTTGTTTAAATTGCACGCAAAGCACTCACCACTTTTTGGCTAATATTTTCAAGGGTAGGGTTGAATACTCCAGGAGGTATAGTGAAATTAGCTGTGGAAAACAAAGCATGAAAAACATGAGATATATATAACGTAAATACAGCTGCAACCCCTACAGAGACAGTCCCATTCTGCGTGCGTATCTTGATCTCCATTTTACCCCACTTGTACAACGGCGATTTTACCAAATCAATCAGACATGTTTCGATTTAAAGCTTTCGTGACTGCAGGGATTCATCTTCTTGGTTCTTTCGGCAAAGTCACGTAGAAGGGAAATAATAAAATAATAAAAACCAAAATAAAATAATGTTTTATAAAATAAAACATGTGTCCGACCTCATCCGATGTCGCAAGCTAAGCGGGATTTTTAGCCTGGGTAGTGCTTGGATGGGCCACCACCGTGCACGACAGGTTCCAAGTAAACATGGAAAGTTGCGCCAACGTTGAGCCAACGTTAGTCCAACGGTTTCAAACACATGCTATCGTCGTACCAACGTCGTGCGTTCACTGTGTTGTTACAGGCGCAGAGCTATGCTGTAGGGCAGCAGCTGACGGCTCAGCAAGTTCAAGTTCAAGTTAATTTATTAGGTATAGCCCTGTGAGCCATTCGGCTCTTGAATCGGGTGCAACCGCAATAAACAAAAAACAAAAACATGAACAAGAAAACATCTTAAAGTGACTATGTGACTATTTGCAAACTGAAAATCCAGGAAAAAAACCAGCAAAGATTCCCAAAAAAAAGCACCGTACACCAACGCTGTGCAAAAATCCCAGTGGGATGCAAGTCAAACAACAACAACAACAACCACAAGACAACTTAGATTAAGGCCATCATTCTAACTCCGTACTACAACAAACAAACATGGCCAAACCAAAACACTTTTCGAAATCACCAAAATAAAGCCATAAAAGCAATGTATCAGTGATCATAGGAACTGTGACCGAATTTTCACAATAAACGACATAAACAACAATCATTGTTGTACTGTACTACTTTGCTCACACTCGTCTATGTTCCCAAGCTTCAATCTCCACGAATGAATTTGGTGAAGTATGGCTAATTAACCCTCATGACCCTCACCGTGTAGGTAATCGTCGTAAAACTAGCTACAGCGTCAGGGTGTGTCTGGACGCTATGCAGTATGAATAATACATATGTCAATGATAATAGCATGTCCAACAGCACATAGCACAATACAGTTAAAGCCTCTCCTTAATAGAGGTTTTGTGGGTGAGATCGCGTGAATAAAAATGTTGTCGTGAAACCCGCCACCACCCGACACAAGGTTTGTCACGTAAATGAAAACATGCCAATGAGTTACCAGTTCAGTTACTAGCCCTCACGTGAATCAAACAGAACAACCGCGTAAGACGATGAAGAATTACTGACTCCCGATGCAAGAGAGGGGTCATCGTCCTTGACGGACTGCATGATTGATGACGACGATGAGTTCAGCACACCGGTTGTGTGTCGGAGAGTAACAGCATCGGCCGCCAATTACCAAGCTCTGTGTCTGCAACAGCTTGTGTAAATGCTATGCACTGTGTTGCATAAATACAACAGCTGATAAAAGCACTGCACATTGTCAACAAAACTCGGTTATTACGGCAGGTTTCACCTCAAAGATGAAAGGCGAATGTGAGAGCCTTATGGGTTTCGCAATGTGATAGTGTGTGAAATGAGATAATATTGTCATATGTAAAGACACCAAATGTCGATGTCAGAACAATTATTTTGTCGTACATTAAACAGTACAGTAGTTGTTTCGGATGCTCATTGGCTGGAGAATAACTTGAGTGTATGTGTGTTAATAGGGATTGTGTCTCTTCCGTTATGATCTAGGGCAGAGCAGCAGCAGTGGTTGTGCTGTGTTATGAACCTGGTGGCCAACTGAGTTCCATTGACTACCAATATTCTGTGGTTGAGTAATATTTGACTGTCCCAGGGGGCCCACCCTATCACCAACTACAACACCACCGGCATGGTTAGGCAAGATCAAACAAACACCTGTGACTGAATAGCACGGGGAGTTGGTTTGACAGAGGGCTGAGGTTATTGCAAACCGTGACGAGTCGTACAAGACGTGGAAGTTTGTTTTGAATGAATTGGGATAAAAACAACAACTGGGCAGGGACACGCGATTGTACGTCAACATGTTGGTCAACGCGAGTTTACTCCCCAGCTCAAACTATCACACTGACAATCACATAAACATTTATTTCCCTTTTATGATGTGTCCAGACAACCGTTACCAGATACTGAATGTATTACAATTTGTTTACAGTCTGTCATATGTTTTTATTATGTACGCTTGGGCTTACGCGAACGTCATACTTTTAGCTTAAAAAAAAAACATATTCGTTGTATTGTGTGAAGCATGCGGACCCCATATATTGTGAATTAAACATTTAAAGGGTTTTTAAACACCGGAAAGGTACAGACCATCGGCCTAGGGGAGGCCCAGGACCAGTTAAAATATTCGTCATTCTTATTGAAAATGCCCATTAAATGATAAACAAAGACAGCATACATACATGTACATAATTACATATGCTACGTTGAAATTTTAATGCAGTTTATTAATGATTTCCACCTTTCTGTCATATGAACAATCTTACGACGACGAATTGGGATTGAACCGCCCTTCCATTTAACAATAGAGATACCTCAACTACAGCAAGGAGATCTTCTGCGGAAAGCGGTGGGTCCCTGGATCAGATTGCGCATTGAGACTGTGCACAACACCGTCCATCCCATTACCCTCCTTCTCCTCGATAGTTTCTGTGCCCACTCAGGCCTACAGAGGACGCTGACTAAACGCCAGACTAATGATGACGATCTTGCTCTCCTTGCTGTTTTTTAAACGTCTTGCTTAAAGAACAAAACAAAACTCGCGCGCCCAAAGCTGTCAGGGGTATAGTAGAATCTGAATACAAGCACACCCATTGCGAACAAGATCGGGTGTGCTTATATCCGAAGTAGTGTGCGTCAGAAGTTGCCCTTTATCCTTTCCCCACAAGTGCAATGTAAGGATGTGTTGTGTATATAAAAAAATATGCTCATATTAGGCGAGCTTATATCAAGGCCGTAATTATAATATATATATTGGGGGGGGGGACACATCCCCCCCCCCCAATATTCAAATATGCTCAAAATGTCTCCCCTCAATATATCGCTATAAAATAGATTTCTGTTTATATGATCGTGGTTATGGTTGTACTTTATTAATCCCTAATCTCTGCCATTACATACAATGAAACAAGAAAAGGTAAAAAAGAAAAACAGAGCAATGTAATACAACACACTATTAGACATTATTGTAAAAAAGAAATAAAAAGTCCATCCCATGGGTTAGTGATTTTTAAAAATATTTTTTAGGCATGAAATGTCAGGAAATTAGTTTTCAAATTTAGATTTTTTTTTCTGGGGGGGGGGGGGACTCCCAGACCCCCTGGAAGATTTGCCCCCCCCCCCAATGTTGACTCCATGGCTACGGCCTTGGCTTATATCCAGCTTCTACTGTGGTCGTATCCCTGCTACCATGCGTGCATTGGGTGGCAAGGGTGGGGCAACACTTGTGCCTCACAACAAGAAGCACCAGGGTTCAATTCCCGATATATATAATACAATGTAACTGGTATTGGCCAAAGTATCCCAATACTGAAACATTACACTCAATATTACTCAATTAGGACGCCACACAGCAGTATTGCATCCGCCTACTGCAAAAATAAATCTTGGCAGGACCCCTGCTAAAAAAAAGTCTTGAGACTCAGTGAGGCTTTCCTAGCTAAAATTAATAAATATAATAAAAGAGATACATTTCACTCTGTCAGTGTCCACAAACAATTGCAGCTCGCCATGTGCGATGTACCTTCTTCATGAACATCCTCGATGTGACCATCATAGTTCGGGTTGTCTTGCCATTCAGGCAAGGTCTTAAAGCTTCCAAAACTTAAGTTTGAGTTTCTACTGAAGGAAGAACAGCTGAAAATATACAAATCATATGTTAATACATTGTATTTCGGTATACATGACGCCCATGTTATTGCTTATGTTCTAATAATCTTTCCGGAAAACAAAGATGGTAAGTTTGCTGCTGGAAAGTTGTGAGTAAAATTTAGTGCCAACAAGATAACCTGGTGGCACCATTGCAATAAAGCAGAACCTGTGATTAACAGACCATAGAAACATATACATAACGTCGAAGAAAGTCTTCTATTGCAGCCCCATGCTTAACTCTATATCAGTGTTAAATATTCAATGTTAAATATACATATACTGTATCTACTAAACTCACTGAAATAATTCGTTTTGGCATTGGGGCTCATACGTCACGTGGCATTTATGGCTTTCATGACTCGCCATAACTATAAAATGTAACACCCTTTTTATGATCAGCGACTTGAATTGTGTGATCATAAATAACATACCGCTGAAGCAGAGCGACGTAAGCCAACAGTATTATCACTTTCAGAGGCATTCTTTTATTTTATTATGCATGGATTTATATTGCTTGTACAAGCTCATGGCAACATGCGCACCGAGTCGTCATTGGGAAGAAGCAGTGTTTTTAATCCGTATACGTTGCACGTAAATGGGTTCACAATGACCACTGGCCGCAATACTCGCGGCCGCTACTTTTCACCACAATAAGAATTCGTCTCATCTTGACTGAATCGTGACGATCCATTGAATCGCCATCATATAAACCACGGAATTATGACCGACAGTGCATCCATGACAATGAACATATTTCGAACAAAGTAATGTACTTTCTTTTAAAATGTACATTACTACTCAAAACAGTTCCTATCTCTACTCTTTGGTTCTTTCGGTAAAGTCACGTAGGTAGAAATAAAATAAAATAAATCACGACGTTTCGATCGCAACACAAGCGTCCGCCATCAGTTGTCCTGCTGTATCGGTTCCGCCTAATGACGGTCGCTTGTGTTGCGATCGAAACGTCGTGATTTATTTTATTTCTACCTACGTGACTTTACCGAAAGAACCAAAGAAAGTTAAAATCAAGATTAGTTCCTATTTCGTTTGGCAGTTTGCCTTTTTTATGTGAAACAGCACCTTTCTTGGCAGTACACGTGTGTGGTAAAAACTGCAGTGGATGAAGAGCATTTTTATTTCCAGAAGCATATGAGAGTTATTGGCAAATTATTGTCTTAAATGACTTTGTACTGACACCTACGAGTAGCGTTCACCGGTTTAGTCAAATCTAATTTGAGCCCTACTGTGTTAAAATAAGCAGCCCTAAACGATGAACATTGATATTTAGAGAGTGATATTATTCATGAAGCTGATAGTACCCTTTTAAATATTTGTACTTAAAATATATCAATGAGCATCAATGTTTAACAATTTGAAACAATATGCAGTTAGCAGCAGAAGAATCCAACAGGATGGGATGTCGTACGTAGCCTGTAGTTTCTCTAAAAGTGATGCCGACTCGTACCAAAGTTGCAAGTGGGAGTGTTCCATCATCGATTCAGTTTCAATTGAAAATGTTTATATACAAAAGCCAGTTTGCTTTGCTTGTAGCTTACATTCCAATGCCAAGGTTTATTCCAATACCAAGATAAATCAATGCCATTCGCTTCATAAAATATACTCATGTCAAAAGTAGCCACAAAAACACCCACGCACATTTTTCTCGTATTTTTATCACTCCAATGCCTTTTATAATCACCACCACTACCGGATGCGGTTTATTACAATCGCTATCTTTTAACAGTCGAACGTCCGAAAGAGTCTGAAAGTAATTATTGTCTCCAGTGTGCAACAGTTAATGCATTTTATGATGGCGTGTGGTCAAAACGGTGAAGGGTGATTGCAGGGCTGGGTGTGTAAGAAGAAGTGAGACCAGTCGTTGGTACAGAGTTCCTTTTGTTTTACACATAAATGAAATACTTCAATCGTGGAATGATGTCTTACTCATTTTATTTTGATTATTATTTAAAGAGGCCAATAAGACTGACTTGGTGTGTAGGGGGTGTACAAGTACTGTATACCTCGACTTGCGAAAGGGAATTGGTCCTCAAAAAACATGCATAGAACGAAATTTTAGTAAATCAGAATGGCTTAATTTAATACATAAACAAATTTTGGAATGTTTTTCAGAGAGTCATTCCAACTCTACTCCTAACCTAAGAATATATACCCCCTATATCCCTTTCACACAAACATTAAAGAGCATAATTACTAAAGTGATTGAATAGTAATTGATAATAAAAAAATGCAATGAACTCAATCAAAAGATCTTGCTGCATTTTAGAATGACTGGTAAGGTGATGTGAAGGCGTTACTGTTGCACTGCAGGGTCACGTGACACTGCCAAGGGTGGATGATGCAACCTCCGATAGTTGTTCTTGTTTGATATCGCGGTGCGTGTCGAAATAAAATTGATCGTTGTCGTGGAAATTCGATTTTGTAAGTCGAAAAGTGTAAACTTTTCATCATTAGACCTCCTTTGCCAGTACCAAAATATAATAAAAGGGGTTTTCCCCTGTTGGCAACAAAACTGATTCCTTGTAAAAAGGTTTCAGTTTTGTTACCAGAAAAAAGGGGAAAAACCCTATTATTGTACACTTTTCGTCAAATGCGTCAACGCGACATTTCGTGAAAAAAACGAACGTTCGCAAATTGAGAGACAACTGCGCTACAAATTTGTACCGTATTTTAGATCGGTGCTAACTTTAGCAGTATTCACTATCTTCTCTTTCTGATTGAAGAGACGTATTGCCAAATCGTAACCTTTACTTCGTGGTTTTATTACATGCATCACGTGACATCAACGGAAAAAGGTGTGAGAATCGGGTGTGCTTTTACAGTTTTGCAGTTCCAGCAATTCAAGTGACGATTGCCTCCAGTGTCTCATTTGGAATGCTTGTTATTGATTCTCAATGTGGCGTGATCTTTCAACGTGGACATTAAATACGGTATGGATGTGATGAAACAACCAATCAGAGGAATGAATCGGTGAAGTTCGCAGGAACGAAACCACGGTGTTATCTGTAGACGAGAGTGAGATCAGGAGGTGACTATTGGTGAGCCAGTGGACTGATGTGAAACCGGTGAGTGAATGGGTGCAACCCTCCTACCTGGATTCGACTGAAAACGTTTTCGTGCTCGCTCGCCTCATGAGCACCAAGACCACAACAATGACGATGACGATAGGCAGTAAGACGAGCGGTACCGTGAGTCCTGCAATTGCCACTGCATTGGCGAGCAAGTTGCACTGACTATCTCTGTGCCAGAAAATCGAGGTCGGCAGGCAACTGCAAACAAATTGACGAGTGACAAAAATGCAAAACATATGATTGTTTAAGCAAATTGATCGAAACACAAAATAATGGACAAACCTTAATTACGAAATCACTTTTGATTTAAAGCTTTCGTGACTGCAGGGATTCATATTCTTGGTTCTTTCGGTAAAGTCACGTAGAAGGGAAACAATAAAATAATTAAATACAAATTTATCACGGCGTTTCGACTTTACCGAAAGAACCAAGAATACAAAATAACTTTTAAGAATGTTGCTAACATCTACACAGTATTACGAATTTATATGAAAAATAAATGATGTGGCAACTAACTAGGCCTATTCTATGGATTATCAAGATGGGCGTCACAATTGCATTCAACAATTATTATTTTCATGAAATTTTTTTAAGCATTGTGTGTATCTATAAGTGTTTTTTTTGTAAAAAACACGTAGTTTTTCATTTAAAAAAGGTGTGTATACATGCAGGCATTCCCTTCATTAGCCTAAGTGCAACATTGGCGTGTCGTTTCACTAAAATAATTATAAAATCTGAAATACTTCTGTGACCATTTACAGAATTGAGCAAATACCAAGACTGATGACATTAGTCCCAAACCTATATTCTAGTATAATGACTTTATCTCAGCCACATAACGATGTCTACTGATGCCAGAGAGATGCACATAGCCTCAGCATGTTGGGTAAAGGGAAGTGGAAACAAGTGACACACATTTGCAGTGGACGCCGACGGACTTTCTGCCCGCGGAGTTTGATGAAGATGAAGTTTACTTACACACACTCCGGGGTTACAACAGTTGCGTTACATTTCCCACCGTTGGCGCAATAAGGTTTTGTAGAGTCGGCATCGCACCTATGTATGCAGGAAATTTGCGAATCATTTATAATCGATATTGTGTAATACTCAGATATTTCAGAGTCGGAGCAGAAGTCATTCAAATCTGGAAAAAAAGGATAAATATTAGAAGCTGCAACATGAGTAATTGTCATAAAAAAAATCAACTGCATCGATAGGTAATCGCACAATGCAGCTTTATATTTACACGAGGAATGCTCCGGGGACGTTACAGTCGTACCTGTGTAATAATACTGTACAGTACATATATACAAAATTCAATCTTTTTCCGTTCAAATAAGCATTGAGGTGGTGGTCATCCCCTGTTCTCAGCCCTGGGTGGTGGGATTTTCCACACCTTCTACGGTGAGGGCGCATCTACCCATACGACAACCAGCTGTTAATTTCCCCGATAAATTGGTCTCTATTTTATTGACCCCAACATGATAATGGGCTGAGTCAAGCCCCCGACTCGGATTTTAACTCTCAACCTTCCAAATGCAAGCAGCTCACTCTACCGACCGCAAAGCCACCTGACAGATTTCCTCCACATTTAAAAACACGCATTTAGATTATTTCAATTATTTTGCTGATATAAATGTCCACATGATAAGCCACTTTGTTGAGCTATCATATGTAGCCTAGTCGCTTGTGTAAACGAAGTGAATAGCTCAGTGGACTTTACATGGTAAGATAAATAGTTTAGTTTTATTTGTATATATATAAAGTCATTTTTTACCTTTCCTATTCTTAGCATTTTTATCGTTTTTTTGTTTGTTTGTTGTTATAACGTTCACACTCGCCCTGACTGGACATTTGTGAAAAATAGCTTTATAGCTCATCGGATTTCTCCAGCAATAAATCAATATTCTGATTCTTTACATATCATCAATAATGGAGTGATATTAAACGCATCATTAATACGTTTTAAGTAGTGGAGAAATGTTTTACACGTTTAATTGTCTCTTGTATTATGTCATTGAAGATACCGAATCTGTTTTCAATACGTACCGTTGATTGTTGTATTATCGGCAACCACTGTAACGTTTTCTACGTCCAATAGGAAACCTGTACAATTGTCTGTTACACACGTTCAGGATGGAGACGAAACATGGTGTTATCATCGTGATTTTTTTACGTCTAATTCGACAATGGTGAACTCTATCGTTGCGTACAAAAACAATGAAAGTTTTATAATCCCAGACACTTTTTTATCCCTTATACTAAAATAGTAAGGTGCGCATTGCATTGTATACCAATTGAATCGATGTAGGTATGGTACAAATAATTCATTTAATAGATGAAAACCAATTCGTATGCTCGCAATACGTGCACAGATGCATGGTAATGTATGCACATTGTTCATCTGCAAGAAGGAATGAAACAGGCGAAGCCCGACAGCACAGCCAACACAGCACAAACGAGACAGACAAAGATACTGGAGTATAACCCAATATGGTATAAATGAGAAGGGCAGTACAGATGGGACAGCACTGATGAGATCAATAATTGATTCTTGAATGCAGTCATGACCCCCGGAACGGTGCAAATGTATTTAATTGCGAAGGTGCGGGTGGGAAGGAGGGGAGTGGGATTTTTTTTTTTTAATGATAAAAATGTGTCAACATGATAACGTAATCCTATTGTGATGCTGCATAGCAGGTACTATACCTGCAATGCACTGTGGTGTGACTGATGTTTTACTGAACCCCATGACCTTCGTGCCATTTATAATACGTTACCCCTAACTAGCTTAACACGTAGGCTTTCGCAACCAATTTGAACCATAATAGAGGTGTTTCGGGTTAGGTCGCGTGAATATAAATGTATTGTTAAACCCATCACCACCTGACACAGCCAATTATTACTGGCAAAACGTCGTACTCAAATTGGAAATGTTGTGGGTTTACTCTCCAACACACCGGTGTGCTGAAATAGAAATGAATTGGCATGTTTTGTTTACATGACAAACCGTACTAATTGGCTGTGTCGGGTGGTGATGGGTTTAACGACACATTTATACTGGTAGGAACCACCTGGTTCCACCAGCCCACAGGAGATTATTGTGTCCGTCCGTCCGTCGTGCATCCAAAAATGGGAGGGGTGGGGCTGGGTGGAGAGGGGAGGGTGGGGAGGGGCTAGGTGGGGAGGGTGAAGCTGGGTGGGGGGTGGGAGGGGTGGGGCTGGGTGGGGAGGGGCTGGTCACTCCGTGGTGCCCTTATAAAATTCAACGTTTAACCTACTCACGCCGGCTTGTGCCCGCCCTCACAGTCAGCCATATTTGTGGAATACACCATGCCGCCGTTGACCCTGGCCATTGACCGAGCAACCCAACGTTCCTACCAGCTCCCTCCGCAGGAATGTGTTATTTATGCAATCTAACCCAAAAAATTCTTATAGATCCTAACTAGATATTTTTAATCTTCGTCCAAAAGTAGCCGTTTTACATCACAACGACGAAGTGATTGTTGCCAAGAATTCTGCTCTGCTCTCACTATATAAACTGGGAAGCTCGCAAAAACACCTTTGCTGGCGTGTGGATGTGCCATTCCTCTTCGTGCGTAGTGTTGCCGATATTTCAAAAGAGGTGTGACTTTTCTGTGATAACTGTGATGACCAATCTGTGATTTCTTGTGTAACAAACTAGGGCCCATTGCTTAAATAAAGGGCCCTTGCTTATAAACGTCATGCATTGATTGGTTCAAGACTCTGCTGATGAGAGACAATGACTGTCAAACTGCTCTAGAGCTTGCTTTTATTGAACCAATGCTGCTGATAAGATGCACTCCCAGAAGGATGTGTGGCTTATGAGTTGTTTAAAACTATACAAAAAAACAAAAAAAATGTATTTTAGCAGGTAAGGCTCACTGAGCTTTATATAGCTATTTTTCAGAAGCAACCTGGCCACAAATGATAGCTCAACCAAGTAGCTTATCATGTGGAAATGTATGGCAGCCAAATAGTGTAAACTCACATTTATAAATGTAGAGGGAAAAAGCGGAGGACCCTGAGGAAAATCCACGCAACCACGAGGAGAGAGAGACATGGAAACTCCAAACATACAGCAGGCGTCAGGGTCGGGATCAAGCCCACGACCTCCTACGTACCAGGCGAGGGAGTTGACATCTCGGCAAATATGGGGAAAAAATGATGATTATTGTGTTACATTCAGCCTAATGGCCTTCTTCCAGCCATTGTTCATTCTACCTTGATACCATCTCACAACAAGTTATTAGTGATCTTTCTGTAGTGGCCTGACACTCCTCTATGTTTAATTGAGGCACGTTGAGAGACATCTTAGACATCTCGAGTGAAGCTTTGGTTTTGAAGGTTCAACGGACCTTGTCTCCAAACTTTTTTGTGGTTACACTGCTGTTAGCTTTAGGAATGTATAATTTCGTATCGGTGTGTACTGAAACAAATACCAATAGGACTGACTGTCTCTAGAGTTTGCATGACCTCAACAATGAACTATTTCCAATTAAATACTGAACGGCAACATAAATATGTAACCTTAAAATAAACACATGAAATCTTACCATAATGTTGTTAGTGCATTCAAGTTGTGCCCAAGTAGGTAAATGTACTTCAGCAATATATATAATGTCTATTTTAGGGCAATAAAGTCTTTTTTCAATAGTTCTGACCACACAGCGGTTACAGACGCATTGACCCATAATGCTTAGGGGTTGCTGATGCTCTTACCTGCTGTAAGTCTCTCGTTGGTGTTGTTATTCACACATTCACTGTCCATCAAAAGGCCTTGAAGTTGTTGTTGCAAATCGTTAAGTATGTCAATTACTGTCTGATTAGTGCTGTATGTGTACGTGACAATATGATCCACTATTATACTTCCTTCCCTGTAAATAATGAAAAAAACATATTTGCGTATGCATTGCACCCATACAATTGCAACAATAATAACTCGATACACTTTATTAATAACAGTCACACCATTATGGTAATTAGAATCATACTGCTCTCTCAACGAGTGGCTACAGTCGTCGCTGTTCCGTTTTTGCCAATTAATAAGAAAAACCTAGCAAACATATACCGCAGTCAAAAAAGTTACAATTACTTCCTGCTCATATGAGAATCATCTCCTGTGTATAATCATGAGCCATTTAGTGGAAATTCCACATTCCTATGGAGAAGGTGACTATCCATAACATAACCACTTTTATTTTCCCTATGAAATAGTACTTATTTTCATCGACCCCAGGGACATGATGGGCTGAATCAACTCCCAACCACGACTTGAACTTACAACTTTCCAATGGCGAGCCACTCGCTCTGCAGCTGAGACACCTGGCAGGTCAATGAAGGTTATTGTGCAATCCTGATATTCCGTGCTCATGTCACTTCTGGCTGAAGGGCCTAAACTTGTAGGAACTCTAGGCAAGCCATCTTGAGGGTATTTTGGCCTATTCCTCCACGCTGGCCAAACACCTTGGCAGAAGTTTGAGTACCCAGAATCAGAATCTTTATTATCCTGGAGGAATCTGATGAGCAATGAAGCTCTTTTTCACATATTTTTTAAAGCTATGTTTTATTTTACCAAGTGAGGCCCGCTGAGCTATACAACACTTTTTCAGAAGTGACCTGGCCACACACGATAGCTCAACAGTGTGGATTATCGTGTGTAAATTTATAACAGCCAAATACTCTAAACGCATGTTTCTAAATGTGGAGCGAAAAACCGGAAGACCTGGAGAAAAATTCACGTACCCACAGGGAGAACATGCAAATTCCAAATATACAGGCGTCAGGGTGGGGATAGAACCCACAACCTCTTGTATACGAAGCGAGGTAGCTAACATCTCACGACTCTTGCACCCTCTATCAGGGGCGGGTCAGAAAGTTATACCAACAAAGAATGCAAAAAACGATAAGGAGTGCAAAGTAGAAAAGAGGTAAGCTAGTCACTGAAATAAATAAATATTAAGTGCGTGAGAACAAATTGCGTAAGGACACTTCACCTAAACACACACCACATGCCTTTTGACTGACTTTGGTGCACTCATTTATGCTGCCGGGTGGATAGAGGTTGCGGATATTTATCTGGCGACCTTTGGATTGCAAAGTCATACGCACAGGCAATTGAGGAGAGCTTCCCATTCTAAGGACGCTGTTATCTCAGTGGACTGTCGCATGCTTCTAAAGGTTAAACAGATCATCCCAAAGGTGTTCTTGTTCGACTGTAATTACCCTACCATTGGCAGCAACTCAGTAATATGCGGTATGTATTACACTGTATCCTGTAATATTGCGGGAAGCAGTAGTGTGGAGGTTAGCGCTCTGTTCTACAAACCCAGGCACCGGAGTTCAGTTCCCGCTCACGGCCAACACCAGTAACGATGATATGAACCGGTCCTGGGCCTCCCTCTAGGTCGACTCAAACACAAATGAGTACCTGGTACGGTGTCTAAAAACATCGCCATTAGGGGAGACAAAGGCGGCCGGGCGTGGTTCTGGCCAGCCACCCCCTCATGTGCCGTGCCGGCCTTCATAGGTGCTCGCTAACAGCACTTGCCCCAACAGTATGTTAAGGCTACATGGGGGATCTTTGTCTTTGCTGTAATATTAACAAACTGCTGTGAATGCACACATGCATGGTGTTGTCTGCTGTGTCTTCAGATGAAAATTAATACATTCCCATTGTTTATTTTCATTGCTTATTGTTTTCTTAAAATAAAAATTTTGCAATAAAATTAATATTTTAACAATCGATATTGGATGTTTACTTCTTCAAATAAAAGTGTACATTATTACATAATACATGTGAATTTTATATTTATTTAAAAAATGAAAGACATTTTTAATCAAAGATTTTATTGTAACAATGTAAATATACAGAAATGTTGGCATTCCACTGCTGGATATGGGTCTCTCCATGTGGTCGGTGCGGGTTAGTGTAGGTTTGAGAGCGAAAGCACGGGAGCATAGAAGTACAGTGCAATAATGGATTTTGCTGCCCTGTCCTCTGCTGACCACCACGTAGAAGAGCTCTGACAAAATTGATGTGCATAGTGGTGATTCAATCTTAGTACTATCCAGGCTCATTCCTGCGTAGCTTCTGAGTTCTGATGAGATTGATATATTATGATGTACTGTCATGTATTGTCTATCAAACAATAAATCTTCACATTTCATTGAATAACCTATGATATGCATTTAAATTATATCTGAATAAGCAATGAAGCATTTCATCACGTACTGAATGATACCTTTATAAGTTATTTATTTTGCATAACCACAAATACAACACAACAATGTTTAGATGTATTACCCTGTAGTTAGTCTAGCATAAAATGTAATCCATAGATATCGCATTTCTGGGTAATTGTAGAATTGTATAAACATAACTAGCTGTATTGTGGTAAATGAAAGCAAAAACAAGACCTTACCTTATAGATAAAATACGTATATCTTTAAACCCAGGGATTTGTTCATAAGTGGGCTTCATCTGAAAGTGAATGACACGAAATTAGGAATGAGCATTTCTCTCACACACATTTGAAACACACAGTACCGTAACTTGAAAAAGTGCTAACGGACACTAATGTTGAAACTAACAACCTGTATTGCGAGAGATTAAACCATATATGACGCTTATGATCTCTACCTATTTATAAATCTAGATGCAGGACCCCTGGCTGTTAATTTAACCAAGGTTACGTTGTTTCCATGTTGTTTCTCGTCACGGTACATTTTAATGGCACTTTATATGGCAGCCGTGTTCCATTAAAACCTCTGAGGTAAACCAAAAGATTTTAGTGGCATGTCATTACCCTGCCAACCTCTCACCTCGTTGTGTAAAATTTACAGTCCAGTAGTTTGTATTATTCAAGAACAACATATACGCACACAGAATGGGAGCTACACCCATTTTATTGCCAAAGTCATAGCAGTTATATTGTTTCAAAGATTTCTGAAGGATGTATGTGTAAGGTGATTCTTTTTTGTCTTGTGCGAATACGTACCTATCTGACTAAATGGTCACAGTTATCTTGCAAAAGTGTCGTATGGGTGGACAAAGTGGGAAAGATGCAAACACACGATTGGTTGATGGAGTGCATTTTTATGTTAGTAATATTTTAACATTTGGCCATTATAATGAACAATTCAATCCCCAAGACAATCATTTTGGCAAATTTTACATTCTTTGACAAGATTGTGGATGAAAATTCCACTTGCCTAAAGTAGATTTGAAGCGTTCGTGACTGCAGAAATCCATACTCTTTGGTTCTTTCGGTAAAGTCACGTAGGTATAAGATAAAAAAAATCACGACGTTTCGGGCGCAACACAAGCGTCCTGATGCCTTTACTGAAGGAACCAAAGAGTATTTTTGCCTAAAGTTATTGAATTTCGGCCCTGAAACATTACAGATTTGATTTATTTCTTTGCAAAGCTAAAGTTAAGTGCGAAGTCACATCAGAACTTTTTTTAAACGACTGCATTTGTTTCTTCTCTGCAACAAAAATAACAGCTCACTGTGTGCATTTTAAGAAAACCATCTCAGTGTCCTCACAGCCAGACACAGACACGAGTAAGGAGTTTTTCATTATGCGTTGTCTACGCAACTCCTTCAATTTGCTCAAATGATAGGTCACGCCTTTGCGCTGATCTACTGAAAAGCCCACAATGTCAAATGTATGTTTGTACGTTGAACTTCTTTCGCACCATACGTAGCCAAACGTGCTAATCAGATGTGTGGAAATGGCTATATACCACACGTAAGGCATGCTACATCGTAATTTACATGAGTCTGAGTAAAACGTGAGTCATACAAATTCCGCCACCCAACACAGTGAATTAATAAAATTGGCACATGCCAACGTATTGCTGCTTCATTACGCCGGTATGCTGGACAGAAATACACAGCATTTAAACAATTGGGTTCGATTGTGAAGTGCTCTCCAACACCCCGGTGTGCTGATGCAGTCATAAACTGGCACGTTTGTTAATCACGTAACAATTTTATTAATTGGCTGGGCCATGTGGAGGAAGGGTTGTACAACACACATTTTATCCACGCGGTCTGACCCAAACATCTATTGTGTATCATTATATTGATCACGAAAGCCTATATGCTAAAAAGGCATACTACTGTTTGTTGGTGGAATGCCGTGCGATAAACATGGCTAAAATGATGACACCAAAGTTGAATACTTACAGTGCCTTGAAATCTTTTCTCAAAGTCTTTGAATTTTGATGACAAATTATTGGCATAGTCTCTGTCATAAAGTTCATTTAATATCCGAATTTTAACTTCAGCTGCCTTTGCGGCATCTGGAGTATGACAAAAACAACAAAACATACCGTAGTTATTTCATGCAAACTCTTATGTTATTTAACAAAATGCAGTTAAATAAGTTTTACTGTAATGCCTCAAATGTATACAGTACAGTATCGTATGATGTACTGTAATTATAGTAACACATTTACACATACAGTACTCTTCACCATATTCCATACCACAGTATTAAATAACGATGCATAATTACTGTATCTAAGCAGAATTAACTGACAGAGACAGAAATGTAAAACAATACTCAGTAAACCAGTAAAAAATACCAATGTTGGGCCAACGTTTCCATGTGGTTGGAACCGTAAGACCAACTTTGGCTCAATGTCGGCCCAAAGTGCCATGTTTACCTGGAATGTATCTATGTGTAGTGGGATTTACGGAGGCACACTTGAACTCGGAGGCAACACGTTTATTCTAACACCCCAACAGGGTAACTGCATAAATGTACTGGATAACGACATAGGTGGTGACTACCACGAGTAACTCAGATTACAATGGGTAACTACATCACCGGGCCAGTCAGTAACGCACTGCCTGACCCACGAAGCCGAGCGTAACGACCGAATACCGAAGAGCAAAGACCGAAGAGACGTAGCACGGCAGGTTGATTCCAGAAGATAGCCACGATTGCTCTCGGGAACTCCCTTTTATGCTCCCGAGCGTGACCTCGCTCTGCCTTCGGTCACGCCCCCTTCTGGATCTCACCAGAAGGTTCTCGACTGAGCATCACGTGTCCCTCAAGCCACCCTTTGGGCCCCCTCGCTACCCTGTCCCGGTCATGTGCCCTCTCGGGTTCATCCAGACTGTTACGTCCTTACTTGCCCTCTCTCTGACCGTCACCAGAACCATGCCCCCTAGGGCCCGCTTCCATGCCATAGCTACTCTGGTGCCAGAGAGAGGCTCAAGACGCATAGTTCCACTCTTGTAACAGTAGCTGGTGCTAAACCCCATTGTGACTCCATTTACGTCACTACATATGTATAAGATTACAGGTGTCCAGAGTGATAGTAACACATATTGCAATTATAGAACATATATATCTTGTCATGGGCATCAACAATGCATGCAGGGATTAAGCTGCATTAACACTGCAATGCTCCACATGCACACAGAAACAAAATTTGATATTTAGATAAAGGATAATCACCTCCGAGGGACAAAAAACTGAGACGTATTATGGGAATAAGAATGGAGAACTATGTGTACATGCATTGTCTTGCGTGGGGTATTACAGTGTCTGGCAATTGACAAAAACTATTTCTAGGCCTCAAAAAGAGAATAATCCTGGACAAACCAGGGCAGGCGGCGGACCCTATTTAGACATACGATATGTCTCACCATTTTTGTTTCACCAGACACCGTAATCACTGTCCATCGTTGAGATTAATCGACACAGGTTCAGCTTTGTCTGTACCATGTGAGCAATACCCAAGCTATGGTAAAACAATATACACGATAAATGACAATGAAAATCGAATTGGGTAGTGACACGGCCCAGAGGTAGCAGGTTCACCACTTCTTGCATAGGTTCCAATCCAGCAGCTGCCCTGATTATCACTGTGAGTGTAATAAACATATTCATACTACACGCCATCTGCCTTACAGTTGGCGTTAAAGATCTTGAACTCTATAAAACGTTTATTTTATTTTAAAAAGGTAAGGTCCACTGAGCTATACAGGTCTTTTTAAAAAGCGGCCTGGCCACAAATGATACCTCAACGAAATAGCCTATCACGTGGACATTTCTAGTAGCCAATTACTCTAAATGCATATTGATTCTAAATGTGGGGGGAAAAACCGGAGGATCCAGAGAAAAATGCACGCGACCACGGGGAGAGAGACACACAAACTCCAAATATACAGCAGGGCCGGGGATCGGGATCAAATCCGTGTCCTCTTGTATACCAGGTGAGGTAGTTAACATCTCGTCACCACGGCGCCCCTGATGCCATTTACAAGAGTAGGCCATTGTGTGCTGGCGTCTGGGTCCCATTTTACCGGACATCTGTGAAAAAGAGCTTTATAGCTCATCAGATTCCTTTAGTATAAATAACGATTCTGATTATGATAATTAGCTACATTTTAATAGTAGGATTTTACTGTACATATCAATCATCACACCTACTGGCAGACTAATGCCCAAGGTCACTCTTGTAAATGTGACTTTACTGATCTCTTGAGTTGTTACCTCGTTAAAAAAAACGAAATCTAATTTGAAATACCGTATATACATTATTGCACGTAAAGAAATGCTGTTGTATCAACATCTCCTTGAGAAGTGTAACTGTATGTTATGCATTTCCGACAAGAATCCATGTGCAATACTGTACTTACTGTTTGGGATGAACACAGGTTGAATCGACTCACAATGCATTCCGGTAAAGGGGAGATTGCATGTGCACATATTAGAATTGCAATTTGGTTTTCCTCCATTTTGACAAACGATGCATGACGCTGAAGAAAAAAAATCATGAAAACATTATGTGGTGAATACATATCTAATGCTGGTGTTTTTTGTCACTATACGATTGGACATCAGCGCAGATTCTTATAGTGATTTGCAATTTATACTTATGGCTATTAAAATAACATAACTAATATCCCATTGAGCAGCAGTTCTCAACGTTTCTGTAAACTAAAAATTATAAACTATTTTAAATTTTACCAGGTAAGACCCACTGAGCTTTCTAGCTATTTTTTAGAAGCGACCTGGACACAAGTGATAGATGAACAATGTGGCTGATCTTGTGGAAATTTATATCAGCCAAATACTCTAAACGCATGTTTCCAAATGTGGAGGGAAAAGCCGGAGGACCCGGAGAAAAATCCACTTCACCACGGGGAGAACATGCAAATTCCAAATATACATCAGAACCGACAACCTCCTGCATACCAGGCGAGGTTGTTAACATTTCGCCACCGTGACACCCACTGTACCCAGGGAATCACTGTACAACCCTCACATGTTTTTTCCTTCGTAATCTGAAACAGTTCTGTGGACAACTTCCCAACAGCATTGCAGACCGCTGCCATAAGACTATCCACAATGATGCAATGATAAAATGGTATTTTCTTTTCAGGAAGCGGGCAATTTTGGAATCGAGTGGACAATTGTTGGGGTTTCATGTGTGCAGTTATTGGCTGGTTTTGGCCAAAACATAAAAAGAATCAACTTAATGTCTGTCGGTAACTTACTGCATTTTCGCATGAAAGCCAAATGTAACCCAAGTGAGTTATACCAAAATAGGCCTTTCCCATACAAAGGTGGATTGATGCTGTGGGATTTGTAATGCGTGACACAGGGGATGATGTTGTATCTTCTGTGCAATTATGATGAACGTTGAAGCTATAAATATGGCTAATAAACAATGTTGTCTCTTAACATTGTGTGGGCTATTGGGATAGAATTGGAGTGGGTGAGATTATTACTGTACCTGGTAAAGTGGTTGTTGTAATTTTGGGAGTTGACCTTAAAGTAGATGTTGATGTAGTAAGTGTAGAACTTTGGGACTCAGAAACAGCCGTAGTTGAAGTAGCTTGAGATCCAGTGGATAAGGTAGTGATCGTACCATTCGATGATGTCGATGTTAAGGAAGAAGATAGTCCTGATATTGTTGTTGATGAAGTAGACATTGGTTGTGATGTTGATACTGATGATGGAGATGATGTGCTGTGTGAAACGGTTGATGCTGTTGATGGTCCAAGTGCAATAGATGTTGTATGGGATATTGGTGATATCGTTGAGGTTGTTGCTGTTACACCATGTGAAGCTGTTGATGACACCACTGTTGAGGATGTAGACATAGTAAGCGTGGTTCCTTGGGAGCCTGTGAATGCGGTTGAAGTATTTGATGATACTGTTGAGCCTGTTGATGTTACACCATGTGATGCTGTTGGTGACACCTCTGTTGAGGATGTCGACAGAGTAAGCGTGGTTCCTTGGGAGCCTGTGAATGCGGTTGTAGTATCTGATGATACTGTTGAGCCTGTTGATGTTACACCATGTGATGCTGTTGGTGACACCTCTGTTGAGGATGTCGACAGAGTAAGCGTAGTTCCTTGGGAACCTGTGAATGCGGTTGTGGTGTCTGTTGAGTCTGTCGATCCGGTTGTGGTTGTACCTTGTGATAAAGTTGTCAAGGATGAAAGAGTTGACGTTGACTCATTTGGAACTGTTGTTAAAGTCTCTTGTGGCAATGTCAAAGGCAATGATGATGACGCTTGTGAAGATGTCGATGCTGTCCACGGTGATGTTGATGGTCTGGTTGCACTTGATGTTTGGGATATTGGTGATACTGTTGAGCCTGTTGATGTTACACCCTGTGATGCTGTTGGTGACACTTCTGTGGAGGATGTCGACAGAGTAAGCGTGGTTCCTTGGGAGCCTGTGAATGCGGTTGTGGTGGATGGTGATTCTGTCGATCCGGTTGTTGTCGTACCTTGCGATAAAGTTGTCAAGGATGAAAGAGTTGGCGTTGACTCATATGGAACTGACGTTGTTAAACTCTCTTGTGGCAACGTGAAAGGCAATGATGATGACGCTTGTGAAGATGTGAATGCTGTCAACGGTGATGTTGATGGTCTGGTTGCACTTGATGTTTGGGATATTGCTGATATTGTTGAGGTTGTTGCTGTTACACCATGTGAAGCTGTTGGTGATACTTCTGTTGAAGATGTCGACAGAGTAACTGTGGTTCCTTGGGAGCCTGTGAATGCGGTTGTAGTATCTGATGATACTGTTGAGCCTGTTGATGTTACACCATGTGATGCTGTTGGTGACACCTCTGTTGAGGATGTCGACAGAGTAAGCGTGGTTCCTTGGGAACCTGTGAATGCGGTTGTGGTGTCTGTTGATTCTGTCGATCCGGTTGTGGTTGTACCTTGTGATAAAGTTGTCAAGGATGAAAGAGTTGACGTTGACTCATTGGGAACTGTTGTTAAAGTCTCTTGTGGCAATGTCAAAGGCAATGATGATGACGCTTGTGAAGATGTCGATGCTGTCCACGGTGATGTTGATGGTCTGGTTGCACTTGATGTTTGGGATATTGGTGATACTGTTGAGCCTGTTGATGTTACACCCTGTGATGCTGTTGGTGACACCTCTGTTGAGGATGTTGACAGAGTAAGCGTGGTTCCTTGGGAACCTGTGAATGCGGTTGTGGTGTCTGTTGATTCTGTCGATCCGGTTGTGGTTGTACCTTGTGATAAAGTTGTCAAGGATGAAAGAGTTGACGTTGACTCATTTGGAACTGTTGTTAAAGTCTCTTGTGGCAATGTCAAAGGCAATGATGATGACGCTTGTGAAGATGTCGATGCTGTCCACGGTGATGTTGATGGTCTGGTTGCACTTGATGTTTGGGATATTGGTGATACTGTTGCACCTGTTGATGTTACACCCTGTGATGCTGTTGGTGACACCTCTGTTGAGGATGTATACAGAGTAAGCGTGGTTCCTTGGGAACCGGTGAATGGGGTTGAAGTATCTGATGATACGGTTGAGCCTGTCGATGTTACACCTTGTGATGCTGTTGGTGACACTTCTGTTGAGAATGTCGACAGAGTAAATGTGGTTCCTTGGGAGCCTGTGAATGCGGTTGTGGTATCTAATGATAATGTTGAGCCTGTTGATGTTACACCCTGTGATGCTGTTGGTGACACTTCTGTGGAGGATGTCGACAGAGTAAGCATGGTTCCTTGGGAGCCTGTGAATGCGGTTGTGGTGGATGGTGATTCTGTCGATCCGGTTGTTGTCGTACCTTGCGATAAAGTTGTCAAGGATGAAAGAGTTGGCGTTGACTCATATGGAACTGACGTTGTTAAACTCTCTTGTGGCAACGTGAAAGGCAATGATGATGACGCTTGTGAAGATGTGAATGCTGTCAACGGTGATGTTGATGGTCTGGTTGCACTTGATGTTTGGGATATTGCTGATATTGTTGAGGTTGTTGCTGTTACACCATGTGAAGCTGTTGGTGATACTTCTGTTGAAGATGTCGACAGAGTAACTGTGGTTCCTTGGGAGCCTGTGAATGCGGTTGTAGTATCTGATGATACTGTTGAGCCTGTTGATGTTACACCATGTGATGCTGTTGGTGACACCTCTGTTGAGGATGTCGACAGAGTAAGCGTGGTTCCTTGGGAACCTGTGAATGCGGTTGTGGTGTCTGTTGATTCTGTCGATCCGGTTGTGGTTGTACCTTGTGATAAAGTTGTCAATAATGAAAGAGTTGACGTTGACTCAGTGGGAACTGTTGTTAAAGTCTCTTGTGGCAATGTCAAAGGCAATGATGATGACGCTTGTGAAGATGTCGATGCTGTCCACGGTGATGTTGATGGTCTTGTTGCACTTGATGTTTGAGATATTGGTGATACTGTTGCGCCTGTTGATGTTACACCCTGTGATGTTGTTGGTGACACTTCTGTTGAGAATGTCGACAGAGTAAGCGTGGTTCCTTGGGAGCCTGTGAATGCGGTTGTGGTATCTGATGATACTGTTGAGCCTGTTGATGTTACACCCTGTGATGCTGTTGGTGACACTTCTGTGGAGTATGTCGACAGAGTAAGCGTGGTTCCTTGGGAGCCTGTGAATACGGTTGTGGTGGATTGTGATTCTGTCGATCCGGTTGTTGTTGTATCTTGCGATAAAGTTGTCAAGGATGAAAGAGTTGACGTTGACTCATTTGGAACTGTTGTTAAAGTCTCTTGTGGCAATGTCAAAGGCAATGATGATGACGCTTGTGAAGATGTCGATGCTGTCCACGGTGATGTTGATGGTCTGGTTGCACTTGATGTTTGGGATATTGGTGATACTGTTGAGCCTGTTGATGTTACACCCTGTGATGCTGTTGGTGACACCTCTGTTGAGGATGTTGACAGAGTAAGCGTGGTTCCTTGGGAACCTGTGAATGCGGTTGTGGTGTCTGTTGATTCTGTCGATCCGGTTGTGGTTGTACCTTGTGATAAAGTTGTCAAGGATGAAAAAGTTGACGTTGACTCATTTGGAACTGTTGTTAAAGTCTCTTGTGGCAATGTCAAAGGCAATGATGATGACGCTTGTGAAGATGTCGATGCTGTCCACGGTGATGTTGATGGTCTTGTTGCACTTGATGTTTGAGATATTGGTGATACTGTTGCGCCTGTTGATGTTACACCCTGTGATGCTGTTGGTGACACTTCTGTTGAGAATGTCGACAGAGTAAGCGTGGTTCCTTGGGAGCCTGTGAATGCGGTTGTGGTATCTGATGATACTGTTGAGCCTGTTGATGTTACACCCTGTGATGCTGTTGGTGACACTTCTGTGGAGGATGTCGACAGAGTAAGCGTGGTTCCTTGGGAGCCTGTGAATGCGGTTGTGGTGTCTGTTGATTCTGTCGATCCGGTTGTGGTTGTACCTTGTGATAAAGTTGTCAAGGATGAAAGAGTTGACGTTGACTCATTGGGAACTGTTGTTAAAGTCTCTTGTGGCAATGTCAAAGGCAATGATGATGACGCTAGTGAAGATGTCGATGCTGTCCACGGTGATGTTGATGGTCTGGTTGCACTTGATGTTTGGGATATTGGTGATACTGTTGAGCCTGTTGATGTTACACCCTGTGATGCTGTTGGTGACACCTCTGTTGAGGATGTTGACAGAGTAAGCGTGGTTCCTTGGGAGCCTGTGAATGCAGTTTTGGTGTCTGTTGATTCTGTCGATCCGGTTGTTGTTGTACCTTGTGTTAAAGTTGTCATGTATGAAAGAGTTGGCGTTGACTCATATGGAACTGTTGTTGTTAAAGTCTCTTGTGGCAATGTCAAAGGTAATGATGATGACACTTGTGAAGATGTGAATGCTGTCAAGGGTGATGTTGATGGTACGGTTGCACTTGAGGTTTGGGATATTGGTGATAATGTTGCGCCTGTTGATGTTACACCCTGTGATGTTGTTGGTGACACTTCTGTGGAGGATGTCGACAGAGTAAGCGTGGTTCCTTGGGAACCTGTGAATGCGGTTGTGGTGTCTGTTGATTCTGTCGATCCGGTTGTGGTTGTACCTTGTGATAAAGTTGTCAAAGATGAAAGAGTTGACGTTGACTCATTTGGAACTGTTGTTAAAGTCTCTTGTGGCAATGTCAAAGGCAATGATGATGACGCTTGTGAAGATGTCGATTCTGTCCACGGTGATGTTGATGGTCTGGTTGCACTTGATGTTTGGGATATTGGTGATAATGTTGCGCCTGTTGATGTTACACCCTGTGATGTTGTTGGTGACACTTCTGTGGAGGATGTCGACAGAGTAAGCGTGGTTCCTTGGGAGCCTGTGAATGCGGTTGTGGTGGATGGTGATTGTGTCGATCCGGTTGTTGTTGTACCTTGCGATAAAGTTGTCAAGGATGAAAGAGATGGTGTTGACTCATATGGAACTGACGTTGTTAAACTCTCTTGTGGCAATGTCAAAGGCAATGATGATGACGCTTGTGAAGATGTCGATGCTGTCCACGGTGATGTTGATGGTCTGGTTGCACTTGATGTTTGAGATATTGGTGATACTGTTGCGCCTGTTGATGTTACACCCTGTGATGCTGTTGGTGACACCTCTGTTGAGGATGTTGACAGAGTAAGCGTGGTTCCTTGGGAGCCTGTGAATGCAGTTGTGGTGTCTGTTGATTCTGTCGATCCGGTTGTTGTTGTACCTTGTGTTAAAGTTGTCATGTATGAAAGAGTTGGCGTTGACTCATATGGAACTGTTGTTGTTAAAGTCTCTTGTGGCAATGTCAAAGGTAATGATGATGACACTTGTGAAGATGTGAATGCTGTCAAGGGTGATGTTGATGGTACGGTTGCACTTGAGGTTTGGGATATTGGTGATAATGTTGCGCCTGTTGATGTTACACCCTGTGATGTTGTTGGTGACACTTCTGTGGAGGATGTCGACAGAGTAAGCGTGGTTCCTTGGGAACCTGTGAATGCGGTTGTGGTGTCTGTTGATTCTGTCGATCCGGTTGTGGTTGTACCTTGTGATAAAGTTGTCAAAGATGAAAGAGTTGACGTTGACTCATTTGGAACTGTTGTTAAAGTCTCTTGTGGCAATGTCAAAGGCAATGATGATGACGCTTGTGAAGATGTCGATGCTGTCCACGGTGATGTTGATGGTCTGGTTGCACTTGATGTTTGGGATATTGGTGATAATGTTGCGCCTGTTGATGTTACACCCTGTGATGTTGTTGGTGACACTTCTGTGGAGGATGTCGACAGAGTAAGCGTGGTTCCTTGGGAGCCTGTGAATGCGGTTGTGGTGGATGGTGATTGTGTCGATCCGGTTGTTGTTGTACCTTGCGATAAAGTTGTCAAGGATGAAAGAGATGGTGTTGACTCATATGGAACTGACGTTGTTAAACTCTCTTGTGGCAATGTCAAAGGCAATGATGATGACGCTTGTGAAGATGTCGATGCTGTCCACGGTGATGTTGATGGTCTTGTTGCACTTGATGTTTGAGATATTGGTGATACTGTTGCGCCTGTTGATGTTACACCCTGTGATGCTGTTGGTGACACTTCTGTTGAGAATGTCGACAGAGTAAGCGTGGTTCCTTGGGAGCCTGTGAATGCGGTTGTGGTATCTGATGATACTGTTGAGCCTGTTGATGTTACACCCTGTGATGCTGTTGGTGACACTTCTGTAGAGGATGTCGACAGAGTAAGCGTGGTTCCTTGGGAGCCTGTGAATACGGTTGTGGTGGATTGTGATTCTGTCGATCCGGTTGTTGATGTATCTTGCGATAAAGTTGTCAAGGATGAAAGAATTGGCGTTGACTCATAAATGACTGTTGTTGTTAAAGTCTCTTGTGGCAATGCTGTTGGTGACACTTCTGTTGAAGATGTCGACAGAATTAGTGTGGTTCCTTGGGAGCCTGTGAATGTGGTTGTGGTGTCTGGTGATTCTGTCGATCCGGTTGTGGTTGTACCTTGCGACAAAGTTGCCAAGGATGAAAGAGTTGGTGTTGACTCATATGGAACTGAGGTTGTTGAAGTCTCTTGTGGCAATGTCAACGGTAATGATGATGACGCTTGTGAAGATGTGAATGCTGTCAACGGTGATGTTGATGGTTCGGTTACACTTGAGGTTTGGGATATTGGTGATACTGTTGCGCCTGTTGATGTTACACCCTGTGATGCTGTTGGTGATACCTCTGTTGAGGATGTATACAGAGTAAGCGTGGTTCCTTGGGAACCAGTGAATGGGGTTGAAGTATCTGATGATACGGTTGAGGCTGTCGATGTTACACCCTGTGATGCTGTTGGTGACCCCTCTGTTGAGGATGTTGACTGGGTAAGTGTGGTTGCCTGGGAGCCTGTGAATGTGGTTGTAGCATCTGGTGAAACTGTTGTCTCTGAAGATGTGGATGGAATATTTGACTGAGTCGTTTCCAGTGGTGTTGTTATGAACAATGTTGTACTTTCAGTTGCCAATGTGGACACTATTGAAGTTGTTTCAGCAGCTGTGGACGGAACAGAAGTCCATAGAAATGTAGTAGATTCCGTTTGAATTACCGTTGTGGATTCCAATGAAGTTGTGGTTGGTATAACTTCTGAGGAGGACGGAATATCAGATTTAGACGTAATTTGTGTCGTGTCTCCTAATGTGGACCCAACAGGAGCAGAGGAAGTAATTTCTGTAGTTTCTGATGATGGTGTGGAAGGGATATTTGATGCCGTAGAAGATGCAATTGGTGTTGATTCAGCGGAAGTAGTCGATGCAACTTCTGAGGTTGAGGAAAACTGTGTTGTCTCAGAAGATGTGGATGGAATATTTGACTGAGTTGTTTCCAGTGGTGTTGTGACGAACAATGTTGTACTTTCAGTTGCCAATGTGGACACTATTGAAGTTGTTTCAGTAGCTGTGGAAGGAACAGAAGTCCATGGAGATGCAGTAGATTCCGTTTGAGTTTCTGTTGTGGATTCCAATGAAGTTGTGGTTGGTATAGCTTGTGAGGAGGACGGAATATCAGATGTAGACGTAATTTGTGTCGTGTCTCCTAATGTGGACCCAACAGGAGTAGAGGAAGTCATTTCTGTAGTTTCCGATGATGGTGTGGAAGGGATATTTGATGCGGTAGAAGATGCAATTGGTTTTGATTCAGCGGAAGTAGTCGATGCAACTTTTGAGGTTGAGGAAAACTGTGTTGTCTCAGAAGATGTGGATGGAATATTTGAATGAGTTGTTTCCAGTGGTGTTGTGATGAACAATGTTGTATTTTCAGTTGCCAATGTGGACACTATTGAAGTTGTTTCAGTAGCTGTGGAAGGAACAGAAGTCCATGGAGATGCAGTAGATTCCGTTTGAGTTTCTGTTGTGGATTCCAATGAAGTTGTGGTTGGTATAGCTTGTGAGGAAGACGGAATATCAGATGTAGACGTAATTTGTGTCGTGTCTCCTAATGTGGACCCAACAGGAGTAGAGGAAGTCATTTCTGTAGTTTCCGATGATGGTGTGGAAGGGATATTTGATGCGGTAGACGATGCAATTGGTGTTGATTCAGCTGAAGTAGTCGATGCAACTTCTGAGGTTGAGGAAAACTGTGTTGTCTCAGAAGATGTGGATGGAATATTTGACTGAGTTGTTTCCAGTGGTGTTGTGACGAACAATGTTGTACTTTCGGTTGCCAATGTGGACTGTATTGAAGTTTTTTCCGCAGCTGTGGACGGAACAGAAGTCGATAGAGATGTAGTAGATTCCGTTTGAATTACCGTTGTGGATTCCAATGAAGTTGTGGTTGGTATAACTTCTGAGGAGGACGGAATATCCGATGTAGACGTAATTTGTGTCGTGTCTCCTAATGTGGACCCAACAGGAGTAGAGGAAGTCATTTCTGTAGTTTCTGATGATGGTGTGTTAGGGATATTTGATGCGGTAGAAGATGCAATTGGTGTTGATTCAGCAGAAGTAGTCGATGGAACTTCTGAGGTTGAGGAAAACTGTGTTGTCTCAGAAGATGTAGATGGAATATTTGTATGAGTTGTTTCCAGTGGTGTTGTGACGAACAATGTTGTACTTTCAGTTGCCAATGTCGACACTTTTGAAGTTGTTTCACTAACTGTGGAAGGAACAGAAGTCCATGGAGATGCAGTAGGTTCCGTTTGAGTTTCTGTTGTGGATTTCAATGAAGTTGTGGTTGGTATAGCTTGTGAGGAGGACGGAATATCAGATGTAGACGTAATTTGTGTCGTGTCTCCTAATGTGGACCCAACAGGAGTAGAGGAAGTCATTTCTGTAGTTTCCGATGATGGTGTGGAAGGGATGTTTGATGCGGTAGACGATGCAATTGGTGTTGATTCAGCGGAAGTAGTCGATGCAACTTCTGAGGTTGAGGAAAACTGTGTTGTCTCAGAAGATGTGGATGGAATATTTGACTGAGTTGTTTCCAGTGGTGTTGTGACAAACAATGTTGTACTTTCAGTTGCCAATGTGGACACAATTGAAGTTGTTTCAGTAGTTGTGGACGGAACAGAAGTCGATAGAGATGTAGTAGATTCCGTTTGAATTACCGTTGTGGATTCCAATGAAGTTGTGGTTGGTATAACTTCTGAGGAGGACGGAATATCCGATGTAGACATAATTTGTGTCGTGTCTCCTAATGTGGACCCAACAGGAGTAGAGGAAGTAATTTCTGTAGTTTCTGATGATGGTGTGGAAGGGATATTTGATGCAGTAGAAGATGCAATTGGTGTTGATTCAGCGGAAGTAGTCGATGCAACTTCTGAGGTTGAGGAAAACTGTGTTGTCTCAGAAGATGTGGATGGAATGTTTGACTGAGTTGTTTCCAGTGGTGTTGTGACGAACAATGTTGTACTTTCAGTTGCCAATGTGGACACTATTGAAGTTGTTTCAGTAGCTGTGGAAGGAACAGAAGTCCATGGAGATGCAGTAGATTCCATTTGAGTTTCTGTTGTGGATTCCAATGAAGTTGTGGTTGGTATAGCTTGTGAGGAGGACGGAATATCAGATGTAGACGTAATTTGTGTCGTGTCTCCTAATGTGGACCCAACAGGAGTAGAGGAAGTCATTTCTGTAGTTTCCGATGATGGGGTGGAAGGGATATTTGATGCGGTAGAAGATGCAATTGGTTTTGATTCAGCGGAAGTAGTCGATGCAACTTTTGAGGTTGAGGAAAACTGTGTTGTCTCAGAAGATGTGGATGGAATATTTGACTGAGTTGTTTCCAGTGGTGTTGTGACGAACAATGTTGTACTTTCAGTTGCCAATGTGGACACTATTGAAGTTGTTTCAGTAGCTGTGGAAGGAACAGAAGTCCATGGAGATGCAGTAGATTCCGTTTGAGTTTCTGTTGTGGATTCCAATGAAGTTGTGGTTGGTATAGCTTGTGAGGAGGACGGAATATCAGATGTAGACGTAATTTGTGTCGTGTCTCCTAATGTGGACCCAACAGGAGTAGAGGAAGTCATTTCTGTAGTTTCGGATGATGGGGTGGAAGGGATATTTGATGCGGTAGAAGATGCAATTGGTGTTGATTCAGCGGAAGTAGTCGATGCAACTTCTGAGGTTGAGGAAAACTGTGTTGTCTCAGAAGATGTGGATGGAATATTTGACTGAGTCGTTTCCAGTGGTGTTGTGACGGACAATGTTGTACTTTCAGTTGCCAATGTGGACTCAATTGAAGTTGTTTCAGCAGCTGTAGACGGAACAGAAGTCCATAGAGATGTAGTAGATTCCGTTTGAATTACCGTTGTGGATTCCAATGAAGTTGTGGTTGGTATAACTTGTGAGGAGGACGGAATATCAGATGTAGACGGAATTTGTGTCGTGTCTCCTAATGTGGACCCAACAGGAGTAGAGGAAGCAATTTCTGTAGTTTCCGATGATGGTGTGGAAGGGATATTTAATGTGGTAGAAGATGCAATTGGTGTTGATTCATCAGATGTAGTCAATTTAACTTCTGAGGTTGAGGAAAATTGTGTTGTCTCAGAAGATGTGGATGGAAAATTTGACTGAGTTGTTTCCAGTGGTGTTGTGACGAACAATGTTGTACTTTCAGTTGCCAATGTGGACACTATTGAAGTTGTTTCAGTAGCTGTGGAAGGAACAGAAGTCCATGGAGATGCAGTAGATTCCGTTTGAGTTTCTGTTGTGGATTCCAATGAAGTTGTGGTTGGTATAGCTTGTGAGGAGGACGGAATATCAGATGTAGACGTAATTTGTGTCGTGTCTCCTAATGTGGACCCAACAGGAGTAGAGGAAGTCATTTCTGTAGTTTCCGATGATGGGGTGGAAGGGATATTTGATGCGGTAGAAGATGCAATTGGTGTTGATTCAGCGGAAGTAGTCGATGCAACTTCTGAGGTTGAGGAAAACTGTGTTGTCTGAGAAGATGTGGATGGAATATTTGACTGAGTTGTTTCCAGTGGTGTTGTGACGAACAATGTTGTACTTTCAGTTGCCAATGTGGACACTATTGAAGTTGTTTCAGTAGCTGTGGAAGGAACAACAGTCCATGGAGATGCAGTAGATTCCGTTTGAGTTTCTGTTGTGGATTCCAATGAAGTTGTGGTTGGTATAACTTGTGAGGAGGACGGAATATCAGATGTAGAGGTAATTTGTGTCGTGTCTCCTAATGTGGAACCAACAGGAGCAGAGGAAGTCATTTCTGTAGTTTCCGATGATGGTGTGGAAGGGATATTTGATGTGGTAGAAGATGCAATTGGTGTTGATACATCAGATGTAGTCAATGGAACTTCTAAGGTTGAGGAAAATTGTGTTGTCTCTGAAGATGTGGATGGAATATTTGACTGAGTCGTTTCCAGTGGTGTTGTGATGAACAATGTTGTACTTTCGGTTGACAATGTGGAACCTATTGAAGTTGTTTCAGCAGCTGTGGATGGAACAGAAGTCCATAGAGATGTAGTAGATTCCGTTTGAATTACCGTTGTGGATTCCAATGAAGTTGTGGTTGGTATAACTTCTGAGGAGGACGGAATATCAGATGTAGACGTAATTTGTGTCGTGTCTCCTAATGTGGACCCAACAGGAGTAGAGGAAGTCATTTCTGTAGTTTCCGATGATGGTGTGGAAGGATTATTTGATGCGGTAGAAGATGCAATTGGTGTTGATACATCAGATGTAGTCAATGGAACTTCTGAGGTTGAGGAAAATTGTGTTGTCTCTGAAGATGTGGATGGAATATTTGACTGAGTCGTTTCCAGTGGTGTTGTGATGAACAATGTTGTACTTTCGGTTGACAATGTGGACTCAATTGAAGTTGTTTCAGCAGCTGTAGACGGAACAGAAGTCCATAGAGATGTAGTAGATTCCGTTTGAATTACCGTTGTGGATTCCAATGAAGTTGTGGTTGGTATAACTTGTGAGGAGGACGGAATATCCGATGTAGACGGAATTTGTGTCGTGTCTCCTAATGTGGACCCAACAGGAGTAGAGGAAGCATTTTCTGTAGTTTCCGATGATGGTGTGGAAGGGATATTTGATGTGGTAGAAGATGCAATTGGTGTTGATTCATCAGATGTAGTCAATTTAACTTCTGAGGTTGAGGAAAATTGTGTTGTCTCTGAAGATGTGGATGGAATATTTGACTGAGTCGTTTCCAGTGGTGTTGTGATGAACAATGTTGTACTTTCGGTTGACAATGTGGAACCTATTGGAGTTGTTTCAGCAGCTGTGGAAGGAACAGAAGTCCATGGAGTTGCAGTAGATTCTGTTTGAGTTACTGTTGTGGATTCCAATGAAGTTGTGGTTGGTATAACTTCTGAGGAGGACGGAATATCCGATGTAGACATAATTTGTGTCGTGTCTCCTAATGTGGACCCAACAGGAGTAGAGGAAGTCATTTCTGTAGTTTCCGATGATGGGGTGGAAGGGATATTTGATGCGGTAGAAGATGCAATTGGTGTTGATTCAGCGGAAGTAGTCGATGCAACTTCTGAGGTTGAAGAAAACTGTGTTGTCTCAGAAGATGTGGATGGAATATTTGACTGAGTCGTTTCCAGTGGTGTTGTGACGGACAATGTTGTACTTTCAGTTGCCAATGTGGACTCAATTGAAGTTGTTTCAGCAGCTGTAGACGGAACAGAAGTCCATAGAGATGTAGTAGATTCCGTTTGAATTACCGTTGTGGATTCCAATGAAGTTGTGGTTGGTATAACTTGTGAGGAGGACGGAATATCAGATGTAGACGGAATTTGTGTCGTGTCTCCTAATGTGGACCCAACAGGAGTAGAGGAAGCAATTTCTGTAGTTTCCGATGATGGTGTGGAAGGGATATTTAATGTGGTAGAAGATGCAATTGGTGTTGATTCATCAGATGTAGTCAATTTAACTTCTGAGGTTGAGGAAAATTGTGTTGTCTCAGAAGATGTGGATGGAAAATTTGACTGAGTTGTTTCCAGTGGTGTTGTGACGAACAATGTTGTACTTTCAGTTGCCAATGTGGACACTATTGAAGTTGTTTCAGTAGCTGTGGAAGGAACAGAAGTCCATGGAGATGCAGTAGATTCCGTTTGAGTTTCTGTTGTGGATTCCAATGAAGTTGTGGTTGGTATAGCTTGTGAGGAGGACGGAATATCAGATGTAGACGTAATTTGTGTCGTGTCTCCTAATGTGGACCCAACAGGAGTAGAGGAAGTCATTTCTGTAGTTTCCGATGATGGGGTGGAAGGGATATTTAATGCGGTAGAAGATGCAATTGGTGTTGATTCAGCGGAAGTAGTCGATGCAACTTCTGAGGTTGAGGAAAACTGTGTTGTCTGAGAAGATGTGGATGGAATATTTGACTGAGTTGTTTCCAGTGGTGTTGTGACGAACAATGTTGTACTTTCAGTTGCCAATGTGGACACTATTGAAGTTGTTTCAGTAGCTGTGGAAGGAACAACAGTCCATGGAGATGCAGTAGATTCCGTTTGAGTTTCTGTTGTGGATTCCAATGAAGTTGTGGTTGGTATAACTTGTGAGGAGGACGGAATATCAGATGTAGAGGTAATTTGTGTCGTGTCTCCTAATGTGGAACCAACAGGAGCAGAGGAAGTCATTTCTGTAGTTTCCGATGATGGTGTGGAAGGGATATTTGATGTGGTAGAAGATGCAATTGGTGTTGATACATCAGATGTAGTCAATGGAACTTCTAAGGTTGAGGAAAATTGTGTTGTCTCTGAAGATGTGGATGGAATATTTGACTGAGTCGTTTCCAGTGGTGTTGTGATGAACAATGTTGTACTTTCGGTTGACAATGTGGAACCTATTGAAGTTGTTTCAGCAGCTGTGGATGGAACAGAAGTCCATAGAGATGTAGTAGATTCCGTTTGAATTACCGTTGTGGATTCCAATGAAGTTGTGGTTGGTATAACTTCTGAGGAGGACGGAATATCAGATGTAGACGTAATTTGTGTCGTGTCTCCTAATGTGGACCCAACAGGAGTAGAGGAAGTCATTTCTGTAGTTTCCGATGATGGTGTGGAAGGATTATTTGATGCGGTAGAAGATGCAATTGGTGTTGATACATCAGATGTAGTCAATGGAACTTCTGAGGTTGAGGAAAATTGTGTTGTCTCTGAAGATGTGGATGGAATATTTGACTGAGTCGTTTCCAGTGGTGTTGTGATGAACAATGTTGTACTTTCAGTTGCCAATGTGGACACTATTGAAGTTGTTTCAGCAGCTGTGGAAGGAACAGAAGTCCATAGAAATGTAGTAGATTCCGTTTGAATTACCGTTGTGGATTCCAATGAAGTTGTGGTTGGTATAACTTCTGAGGAGGACGGAATATCAGATTTAGACGTAATTTGTGTCGTGTCTCCTAATGTGGACCCAACAGGAGCAGAGGAAGTAATTTCTGTAGTTTCTGATGATGGTGTGGAAGGGATATTTGATGCAGTAGAAGATGCAATTGGTGTTGATTCAGCGGAAGTAGTCGATGCAACTTCTGAGGTTGAGGAAAACTGTGTTGTCTCAGAAGATGTGGATGGAATATTTGACTGAGTTGTTTCCAGTGGTGTTGTGACGAACAATGTTGTACTTTCAGTTGCCAATGTGGACACTATTGAAGTTGTTTCAGTAGCTGTGGACGGAACAGAAGTCCATAGAGATGTAGTAGATTCCGTTTGAATTACCGTTGTGGATTCCAATGAAGTTGCGGTTGGTATAACTTCTGAGGAGGACGGAATATTAGATGTAGACGTAATTTGTGTCATGTCTCCTAATGTGGACCCAACAGGAGTAGAGGAAGCAATTTCTGTAGTTTCTGATGATGGTGTGGAAGGGATATTTGATGTGGTTGAAGATGCAATTGGTGTTGATTCATCAGATGTAGTCGTTGGAACTTCTGAGGTTGAGGAAAATTGTGTTGTCTCAGAAGATGTAGATGGAATATTTGACTGAGTCGTTTCCAGTGGTGTTGTGATGAACAATGTTGTACTTTCAGTTGCCAATGTGGAACCTATTGAAGTTGTTTCAGCAGCTGTGGAAGGAACAGAAGTCCATGGAGTTGCAGTAGATTCTGTTTGAGTTACTGTTGTGGATTCCAATGAAGTTGTGGTTGGTATAACTTGTGAGGAGGACGGAATATCAGATGTAGACGTAATTTGTGTCGTGTCTCCTAATGTGGACCCAACAGGAGTAGAGGAAGTCATTTCTGTAGTTTCCGATGATGGTGTGGAAGGAATATTTGATGCGGTAGAAGGTGCAATTGGTGTTGATTCAGCAGAAGTAGTCAATGGAACTTCTGAGGTTGAGGAAAATTGTGTTGTCTCTGAAGATGTGGATGGAATATTTGACTGAGTCGTTTCCAGTGGTGTTGTGATGAACAATGTTGTACTTTCGGTTGACAATGTGGAACCTATTGAAGTTGTTTCAGCAGCTGTGGATGGAACAGAAGTCCATAGAGATGTAGTAGATTCCGTTTGAATTACCGTTGTGGATTCCAATGAAGTTGTGGTTGGTATAACTTCTGAGGAGGACGGAATATCAGATGTAGACGTAATTTGTGTCGTGTCTCCTAATGTGGATCCAACAGGAGTAGAGGAAGTCATTTCTGTAGTTTCTGATGATGGTGTGGAAGGATTATTTGATGCGGTAGAAGATGCAATTGGTGTTGATTCAGCAGAAGTAGTTGATGGAACTTCTGAGGTTGAGGAAAACTGTGTTGTCTCAGAAGATGTGGATGGAATATTTGACTGAGTTGTTTCCAGTGGTGTTGTGACGAACAACGTTGTACTTTCAGTTGCCAATGTGGACACTATTGAAGTTGTTTCAGTAGCTGTGGAAGGAACAACAGTCCATGGAGATGCAGTAGATTCCGTTTGAGTTTCTGTTGTGGATTCCAATGAAGTTGTTGTTGGTATAACTTGTGAGGAGGACGGAATATCAGATGTAGAGGTAATTTGTGTCGTGTCTCCTAATGTGGAACCAACAGGAGCAGAGGAAGTCATTTCTGTAGTTTCCGATGATGGTGTGGAAGGGATATTTGATGTGGTAGAAGATGCAATTGGTGTTGATACATCAGATGTAGTCAATGGAACTTCTGAGGTTGAGGAAAATTGTGTTGTCTCTGAAGATGTGGATGGAATATTTGACTGAGTCGTTTCCAGTGGTGTTGTGATGAACAATGTTGTACTTTCGGTTGACAATGTGGAACCTATTGAAGTTGTTTCAGCAGCTGTGGAAGGAACAGAAGTCCATGGAGTTGCAGTAGATTCTGTTTGAGTTACTGTTGTGGATTCCAATGAAGTTGTGGTTGGTATAACTTGTGAGGAGGACGGAATATCAGATGTAGACGTAATTTGTGTCGTGTCTCCTAATGTGGACCCAACAGGAGTAGAGGAAGCAATTTCTGTAGTTTCCGATGATGGTGTGGAAGGGATATTTGATGTGGTAGAAGATGCAATTGGTGTTGATTCATCAGATGTAGTCGTTGGAACTTCTGAGGTTGAGGAAGATTGTGTTGTCTCAAAAGATGTGGATGGAATATTCGACTGAGTCGTTTCCAGTGGTGTTGTGATGAACAATGTTGTACTTTCAGTTGCCAATGTGGACACTATTGAAGTTGTTTCAGCAGCTGTGGAAGGAACAGAAGTCCATAGAAATGTAGTAGATTCCGTTTGAATTACCGTTGTGGATTCCAATGAAGTTGTGGTTGGTATAACTTCTGAGGAGGACGGAATATCAGATTTAGACGTAATTTGTGTCGTGTCTCCTAATGTGGACCCAACAGGAGCAGAGGAAGTAATTTCTGTAGTTTCTGATGATGGTGTGGAAGGGATATTTGATGCAGTAGAAGATGCAATTGGTGTTGATTCAGCGGAAGTAGTCGATGCAACTTCTGAGGTTGAGGAAAACTGTGTTGTCTCAGAAGATGTGGATGGAATATTTGACTGAGTTGTTTCCAGTGGTGTTGTGACGAACAATGTTGTACTTTCAGTTGCCAATGTGGACACTATTGAAGTTGTTTCAGTAGCTGTGGAAGGAACAGAAGTCCATGGAGATGCAGTAGATTCCGTTTGAGTTTCTGTTGTGGAATCCAATGAAGTTGTGGTTGGTATAGCTTGTGAGGAGGACGGAATATCAGATGTAGACGTAATTTGTGTCGTGTCTCCTAATGTGGACCCAACAGGAGTAGAGGAAGTCATTTCTGTAGTTTCCGATGATGGTGTGGAAGGAATATTTGATGCGGTAGAAGATGCAATTGGTGTTGATTCAGCGGAAGTAGTTGATGCAACTTCTGAGGTTGAGGAAAACTGTGTTGTCTCAGAAGATGTGGATGGAATATTTGACTGAGTTGTTTCCAGTGGTGTTGTGACGAACAATGTTGTACTTTCAGTTGCCAATGTGGACACTATTGAAGTTGTTTCAGTAGCTGTGGACGGAACAGAAGTCCATAGAGATGTAGTAGATTCCGTTTGAATTACCGTTGTGGATTCCAATGAAGTTGCGGTTGGTATAACTTTTGAGGAGGACGGAATATTAGATGTAGACGTAATTTGTGTCATGTCTCCTAATGTGGACCCAACAGGAGTAGAGGAAGCAATTTCTGTAGTTTCTGATGATGGTGTGGAAGGGATATTTGATGTGGTTGAAGATGCAATTGGTCTTGATTCATCAGATGTAGTCGTTGGAACTTCTGAGGTTGAGGAAAATTGTGTTGTCTCAGAAGATGTAGATGGAATATTTGACTGAGTCGTTTCCAGTGGTGTTGTGATGAACAATGTTGTACTTTCAGTTGCCAATGTGGAACCTATTGAAGTTGTTTCAGCAGCTGTGGAAGGAACAGAAGTCCATGGAGTTGCAGTAGATTCTGTTTGAGTTACTGTTGTGGATTCCAATGAAGTTGTGGTTGGTATAACTTGTGAGGAGGACGGAATATCAGATGTAGACGTAATTTGTGTCGTGTCTCCTAATGTGGACCCAACAGGAGTAGAGGAAGTCATTTCTGTAGTTTCCGATGATGGTGTGGAAGGAATATTTGATGCGGTAGAAGATGCAATTGGTGTTGATTCAGCAGAAGTAGTCAATGGAACTTCTGAGGTTGAGGAAAATTGTGTTGTCTCTGAAGATGTGGATGGAATATTTGACTGAGTCGTTTCCAGTGGTGTTGTGATGAACAATGTTGTACTTTCGGTTGACAATGTGGAACCTATTGAAGTTGTTTCAGCAGCTGTGGATGGAACAGAAGTCCATAGAGATGTAGTAGATTCCGTTTGAATTACCGTTGTGGATTCCAATGAAGTTGTGGTTGGTATAACTTCTGAGGAGGACGGAATATCAGATGTAGACGTAATTTGTGTCGTGTCTCCTAATGTGGACCCAACAGGAGTAGAGGAAGTCATTTCTGTAGTTTCCGATGATGGTGTGGAAGGAATATTTGATGCGGTAGAAGATGCAATTGGTGTTGATTCAGCAGAAGTAGTCGATGGAACTTCTGAGGTTGAGGAAAACTGTGTTGTCTCAGAAGATGTGGATGGAATATTTGACTGAGTTGTTTCCAGTGGTGTTGTGACGAACAATGTTGTACTTTCAGTTGCCAATGTGGACACTATTGAAGTTGTTTCAGTAGCTGTGGAAGGAACAACAGTCCATGGAGATGCAGTAGATTCCGTTTGAGTTTCTGTTGTGGATTCCAATGAAGTTGTGGTTGGTATAACTTGTGAGGAGGACGGAATATCAGATGTAGACGTAATTTGTGTCGTGTCTCCTAATGTGGACCCAACAGGAGTAGAGGAAGTCATTTCTGTAGTTTCCGATGATGGTGTGGAAGGAATATTTGATGCGGTAGAAGATGCAATTGGTGTTGATTCAGCAGAAGTAGTCAATGGAACTTCTGAGGTTGAGGAAAATTGTGTTGTCTCTGAAGATGTGGATGGAATATTTGACTGAGTCGTTTCCAGTGGTGTTGTGATGAACAATGTTGTACTTTCGGTTGACAATGTGGAACCTATTG